CACACTTACCCATGAACTCTGAGCCCTGTGAATTCTTCAGTCCGAAAAAAAATTAAACGTAACAACAACCGACAAAACTTATCCCTCTTTGCTATCTCTATTGTTTTCCAATGGACAAGGAGCTCGCAGACGCCATCTTGAAACAAGTTTTTTTTTCCTCTCTCTTTTTTTTCCTAACCTTTTGCATCACAGCCGAGCGTCACTCCATGCATGTCGGCAGACCGACCCCCGTCGCGTGATTGGCACGTGGGCCGACCAATCGCCGGCGCACGTTCGCTCGCGAGTGGGAGATTCGGCAAAAAAATAAAATAAATAAAAAAACAGCGTAGTAGGCGCTTCATAGGGCGCGTGGGCGAGTGGAAACGGTACAACTTTTTCAGCTGTCATTTTTAGTCATACGAGACTCATGGCTCAATCCGTGCCTTGGGTGTGGCATGAAAGTGATTTTTAATGCCTATATATATATATATATATATATATATATATATATATATATATATTTATTGTATTTCTTTTAATTAATTATTAAGCAATACTTCATCAAATGTAATATAATTTGTTACTGTTTGTTCCAGAGAAGTGAGATGACTAAATCTGACAAAGATATTAAAATATCCGTTTGACGGCGCCTAGTAGCAATACTACTACTAAAACAACTAATAATAATATTGATGATAATTGTCAATTAATATGAATTCATCTCCATATGAATACAGAGTCAATAACTTACCGAAAGCCTAAGTAGAAAAGCAGCAGGAACTTGAAAATTATCAGAAACAAAAAATATAAATATATCACACGCAGGGGCGTCTGCTAGCCAATGAATGTGTACAATTGGACGGAGGGTCCAAAGTGACATTTTTAAGGGGGGGGGGGCAGAATTCCTAATTGCGCCACTGAAGACACGTCAGTGTATTGGCAGTGTTTAAGAGAAATGTCCTTAACAACCTGAGGGGGCACACATTTTTTTTTACTATTATATACACTTAATGTCATCATAATAATAATCTTAATCATGAACTAACTCTTACTTAATTTGGAGAGCCCCCCCTCCGATTGCAAATCTCACATACTTGCGAAACATTCGTGACGATTAAGGATCTGATGTCATGCATATTATACGGATTTGTGACATGCTATGTCTCATTTTTTGTATACAATCTAATTATGGTGGGAGTCAACACACACAAAAAACATCAATTTTCCCAAAAAAATCTAGAGTGGCATCAAAAATATAAATACTGGTTGTGGAAATGTTGCTGCACGCTTACTTTGCTATCATTAAAACATCATCAATCATGATATGCATCGTGCAGAATGGCATGACACAATATTGGAGCCCTAGATGGAATGCTAGTTCATAACCAGGGCACATGTGGCTGAATATTTACACATTGTAGAAAATGAACAGACACCAGTTAGCCTGACATTTGTAAACTTCTTTTGGAACAGGTTCCCCAAAGGAAGCCTGTGTGACACAGAGAAAAGATGCAAACTCTACTGAGAGTTGAAGTGAAATCTCAACCCACAACCCATGTCACTAAAACAGTTAAATCCAATTTAAACATATCAGATGCTCCAAAATTCATATTCTTACTTGACACAGCAGAACTAGAAACATCATTTTCAAATAAATTAGTTGAATGTGAAATACTAAATTTAATATATATTTAGTTAGTTCAAATAATAATTTACCACTATACACATTATCTTACACCAACCAGCCATAACATTAAAAACACTGACAGGTGAACTGAATAACATTGGTTATTTCATTATAATGGCACATGTGAAAGGTGTCATTATGCATTAGGCAAATGAATAGTCAGTTCTGGAAGCTGATGTGTTTTGATGCAGGAAAAATGGGCAAGTGTAAGGACCTGAGCAACTTTGACAAGGCCCAAATTGTGCCGGTTTGGCAACTGGGTCAGAGTATCTTCAAAATTGTGGGTCTTGTGTGGTGTTCCTGGTATGCAGTGGTCAGTACCTACCAAAAGTGGTCCAAGGAAGGTCAACTGATGAACTGATGGTGGGGTCATGGGCACCAGGGCTCATTTGTGCATGTGGGGAGTGAAAGCTAGTCCATCTGGTTTGAACCCACAGGAAAGTTATTGTAGCACAAATTGCTGAGAAAATTAAGGCTATGATAGAAAGGTGTCAGAAAACACAGTGCAGTGCAGCTTACTGCGTATGGGGCTGCATAGCCCCAGACTGGTCAGAGTGTCCATGCTCACCCCTGCCCACTGGCAAAAGTGCCTACAACAGGCATGTGAGCATCAGAACTGGACCATGGAGAAGTGGAAGGAGGACTGGTAGCCATGTTGTGTTATCATGTGGATGGTCAGGCGCATGTGCATCATTTGTCTGGGGAAGAGATGATACTAGGATGCAATATGGAAGAAGGCAAGCTGGTGAAGGCAGTGGGATGCTCTGGGCAATGTTCTGCTGGTAATGCTTGGGTCCTGGCATTCATGTGGGTGCTACTAAACATTGTTGCAGACCAAGAACACCCTTTCACGGCAACAGTATTCCCTGATGGCAGTGACCTCTTTCAGCAGGACAATGTTCCCTGCCACACTGCAAAAATAGTTCAGGCATGATTTGAGGAACCTGACAGAGTTCAAGGTGTTGATTGGGCCTCCAAATTCCCCAGATCTCAATCTGATCAAGCACCTGTGGGATGTGCTGGACATGCAAGTCCGATCCATGGAGGCCCCACCTCCATGCCTTGATGGATCAGAGCTGTTTTGGCAGCACAAGGGGGATCTATACAATATTAGGCAGGTGGTTTTAATGTTATGGCTGATCGGTGTATTTTCAGATTTTGTTGCTTAGCTGACACATTTATGCTAAGCAATTTACAGTGCTTTATTCAGCTATTGGCCATTTTTAACAGTAAAAACCAGACCACAGTCCTTACTTTCAGGTATGACAGTAGAACTCCTTCTGGAACCGGAACCATCCACCCATGGCTCTGATCACGGTCAGAGCCATAATCACGGTCTATTTACCTACAAATAGCTTTTGGAGGTTTTGATAAATCACATTGAAAGAGAGAACTCAAACTCATTACAATTTCTTTTTAAAGTAAACAGTTATAATGAAGTTATAATAATAAAAAGATTATACATTTTGTTTCTCCCCCCATAGTGATAATTTAATCAATGCTTACATGTCCTTAGTTCCTAGTACATAAAAAACCAACAAAATACAGTCATTTTCAGTATTGTTTCAGTGATCATTTAAGAGCGCTATGATTTTTCCTCCACACTGTGATAAACCAACCTTGTGCCCCATGCTGCTTGGGTTAGGTTAAGGGTTTTCCTTGACCCTACACTGGATAAGCGGTTTAAAGAGCGATGTACCACATTGGGTTGGCACCTCATCCTGGATTATTCCCTGCCTTGCGCCTTTAGCTTCCGGGATAGGCTCCGGGCCCCCGTAACTCTGCATAAGACAAATGGGTATAGACAATAGACTGATGGATGGAAGATGAATGTATACCACCAAGCGATTCCTCAAATAACATATTCAGTAGGCCTAATATGATTTAAATCATAGACTGCATTCAAATGACATCATAATCATGCCTAAAAAATTCAGTTATAGTACCAGTCCAAAGTCCGGACACACCTACTGAGAATAATTTGATTTTCCTCAAGACAAGGACCTCAAGGTTATGTAGTATTATTTTGTGAATAAGGAAAGAGATGGGAGTGCTGTGACAGATGACGTAGCCCCCACAACCCCCCAGCTAAACCCCACAGAGCTACTTTGGGAGGAGTTGGAACGAAGAGTAAGAGCAAGGTAGCCAACTAGTGCCCAGAACTTGTGGAAACCCCTTCAGGACTATTGGAGAAGCATTCCAGGTGGCTACATCTAGGTGGTTGGAACAATGCTAGGAGTCTGAAACGTTGTCATCGAAGCAATAAGGGGGCTATTTTAAAGCATCTAAAATTTGAGAAAATTGTCTGGTGTCAAACACTTAAGATTGACCTTACATCAGGATGACTGTGGTTTGCTACACTTGCCCTTGTGATATCCCTTAGCCAGACTATGCCTACAGAGTGTATGACCTTAGTGTCACGTGGGGAGAAAAAAAGATGTTACACGATGGCATTCCGATGTGAATAAATCAGATTTCTTCATAAATACAGAATAAATTAGACATTTATCCATTCTTTATTTTTCAGCAAAAAATGGCATGGGTCCATTTATATAGTTTACTGCATTTAACATACATAACAGTCATGAGAAAGGGTTCTTTTCTTCTTGACAGTGTGGTTTTAAATATTTAATTTCACTCTAGAGTTTTACTAAGACATAAAATCAGAGCTAACACATGAATTAAAATGGTTATCCTAGTGTGCTTGATGAATTAGTTAAACTGATACATACACGTTTTTGGCAAGCCAGCCACAGATGGAGCGATGAGTCACCATCAGGAAGCAACATGCATCTCTCCAACCATGTGCTGCTTTATCACTCTATCACTTTTTTTGTTACGTTTCCCACAAATCAAAGGTTCAAAAACTCGTCCTCTAACTTCCATTAACTCAGTTCACTAACTCTAAAGTGGAAAAGAACCGTTACTGGGAACGGCCTTTTTGAAGCACTGCCTCATCTTTCCTTCACATGAATGTTAAACTGAGCACAGTGTATGACCCTGTGCACAAAGAACAGTTTCGACGTGCATGCTGGGATGCACTGCCCCCCAACCCTTTTCCCACCATTAAAACTGTACACCTGAAACAGATAGGCCCACATTCCTGGACATATGCAATATAGGGAGAGAAAAGGGGAAATTTTAGTGCCGACACTGCGTTCAGACTGATCCTGCAATCATTACAAGTGACTCTCTTGACCTTCCCATGCAGACTTGGTGCCGGAGGGTTACAATTATGCATATTTTATAAGACATATGAGGAGACTTTAGTTGCCTTGTGTAATTAAGCACAACCTCAGAGTGGACCAGTTGATTAAAGATGAAAACTGTGTGCTTTAGGATGCAGGCATCTTTTATTGTAGATGTGTAGCCTGGAGGCTGCAGACTCCCTTGGAGATGGACAGTTATTTCCTGTACGACAAACTGCACTGACAGGAAATGACATCAACATGCAAACAGGGACTGACTCATCTACAAATGGGGGAGAACAGAGTACACAGTGGGGAACCCCCCCCCCCCCAAAAAAAAAGTCACCAACATCCTACTTCATATGGATGACCCAAGCTGATAAACCTGATCTTTGACACAGTTACCATGAACTATACTCCACAGAGAATTGTACCAGCCTCCAAACATGTTTCTTTATTACCAAACCAAAAGACAACGTAATCAAATATTCTGGGAAAAAGTAAAATGCATCATAAAAAAAACCCTCACATTACATTCAGGTAATTTCCACAGTCCACAGCTGCACCAGCAATACAATCTAACCAAGAGGGCTGTCAATGACACCCTCTGTCCTGACACGTCAACTGGGCACTGAATCTGCAACGGCACCTTGACGAGCATTTCTGACTGGGGGAGATGAGAGAAACCACACCGGTAAGACACCAACAGATTTGTCCTTAAGAGAAAGAATCCATCTCACGCAGCCCGTGTTAAGAGCCTTCAGGTAACTTTGGCCACAAGATATAAGATACGTGGCCCTTCACATAAATCTACAGCCGTTCAGCCCAAATACTCAGACACGTGGCACTACCTAAATTCTAGTAAAACACGCAGGGGTTTGCACTTAAATCTGTAGTGTCTGAAACAATCAGCAGGCAATGAATACTGCCTGAGGCGGTTAGAAGCTGTGGTTTATGTGATGGGAGGGGTCAAGTTCCAAAGTTAGTCAGCTGCAGTGCTAAGAAAAGGTAAAACCCCCCCCTCCCCTTGCTTTTCTTTAAAAAAAAAAAAAAAAAAAAGCCAGTTCTATTCGTTCTGATAGCTGTCAAGGGCGGCCCAGTTCTTGATTGTTCTGTACTGATCTTGAAGGAGACAGTGTGTCACGTCACGCCGCAGCCATCGCTGCTGTGAGGCTGGGTAGAAGACATCCAGGATGTGGGATGGAGTGGGTGACAGAGGGGTGGGAAAAATCGGGGTTTAGGGGAGGGGAGGGGCTCTTTCAGTCTTTCCTCACTTTCTTGTTTCTGGGAGATCTTCTCGGGACATCGTCTTCGTGTTTCTGAAAAGCGGAGAACGGCAGAGCATCAGTGCATGTGCAGGCCAGGGTTTTAGCCGCTGATACAGCCATCAGTTATTTGGAACTCATTGTGAAAGTGTGTTCGGATACTAAAACTAGGAAACGACAAACACCCTAAAGCCCTTGCAAACCAGTTTCCTTATGGACCAACCCTGATCCTTCTCAACGTAAATGACTTCAGCCGTTTATAGAATACGCGAGTCATGAATGCACTCAAGAAGCAGAACAAAATGCCAATAGCTGTAAAACATCTAGCTCCTTGTAAACAGCTGGATGGATCTCACCTCATCAACTTTGTTAGCTTCTTTCTCGTCCTCCTCATCCTCCTCGTCCTCCTCCTCATCCTCCTCTCCAACTCCAGGCTCTGCTGAACTGTCTTCTGCGTCACTCTTCTTCTTGTCCTCAGCTGAGGGGAAGACGTCATTTTGTTGCATCATTTGCTTAACAGCATGCCTCTTTTTGGTGCCATTGCTCAAATAAACTACATTGCCACTGGCAGCCAATTTACCTCATACACCAGGAGTGGCCAATCTTATCCGCAAAGGGCTGGTGTGAGTGTGGGGTTTTGCTGCAACTCCCTAATTAGATTACTAATTACAGGACTGATTGGCTGAAGAGTCCTCACACCTGTGTTTGAACAGCTGACCTACAGATTATCCCAAAAACCTGCATACACACCGGGCCTTTGTGGATAAGATTGGCCACCCCTGTTTATGGGTCAGTTCAAACATACCAATTCTTTTACAATTAGGGTAGAAGCCAAGATTAAGTATTGAAATCATTCTAACAAATATCTGGCTGTATCTATATGGCTGCCACTGTAAAATATTGGTGATCATGATCCAGGGTTCAGTATGTCAATGATTAACATTTTTACCCACAATCCCCTTCATGGTTCATTTACAATTTAAATAATGAGAGATTCATTGCCATTATAACATTTCCTAAGAGGAACTGCATACATAAATAGCTAAGAGTAGGAACAGGTTCTTACTTTGATCTTCATCATCATTTCCTTCCTCTTCCTCATCTGCCTTTTCTTCCTCACCCTCTTCCTTCACATCTGGCTGAGGTTCATCAGTCTTCTTATAATCAGCAGGTGATGTCTTCTTCTGATGGGGACATGATGCAAATAGGCAGAAAGGTTTGGACTCGCCTGGGTGAGTCAAAGGTTCTCTGCTACAGGTTCCTCACAAGAGGCCAGTTCCAAATTATACCCTATAGTGGCCATAAAATGGACAGCAAGTAGAAGCAGTAGCTTTTAAATTGGTTATAAAGCACTGAATCTCCTCCAAAATTATATGGATGGTGATGCACTGAAATTTTGCACTGGGATCTCAGAAAACTGAAACCAGTAAGAAAACTGTAGTTCTGTCACAGAGGCAACTAATGTCATTGTGGTTAAAAGCCAACATGACTCACCTTGCCGGAGCAGCAGAAAACGAAGATGAGGACAACAGGCAGACCCACTGTCAGCACATAGATCACCCAGAGCCAAGGCCGCTCCTCTGCGGCGCTCAGCATCTGAGTCACCAGGCCAGGCTGCAAAAACACAAACAAACCTCATCACTGACCCAATCCCACACTGAAGAACCAATAAGACTGTTTAACGGATTATCTATTCACACAATCCAGGCTATTCATGACCACTGCATTCCCACTCATCCCAATCCAGCTGTAAAGTTTTGAGAAATATGCCGATTTGCACCTTATCATGGATCACTACTTCCCATGTTTTTGTAGTGAGAGTATGTGTAAGGCAGCCTCTATGGCTGGACAAGGCCCATTCCATCCTGCATGCGATTCCTGGGGACTTCAATCAAGGTGAAACAAAGAGCAGCCTGATGCAGTCCTACAGACTGGGTGCCAAACGATCCAGGCCATCTGGGTTCTCAAAAGCTTTTTGTGTTGCCAACTCAAACCCCGTTTCAGCTAATGGCTGTTTGCTCTACACACCCAGCCACAACTCCATCACAGAGGATTACATTTATGCCGTCAGGATACCTGGTTCTGCCAGTACCAGGCAGTGAGGCAGGTGTGTGGTGGCCAAAAAAACAAAACTAAAAGTGTTAATTTCTCACAGCAGAAAAGACTAATACTTGGAAACATGCATATGTTCAACATCTTTGAGTGACCTTCAGCAAATGAAATATCCACAGAGTCTGTCTTCCTGCAGTGAGTGCTGCAGTGAGCTGATAGCGCTAATCCTCAGTCATTTTGGAAGAACACAGGAGCCAACAGGGAGCTACAGCAGCTGTTGTCTGGGGCTTAATTGATGCAGAGTAGCTTCGAGAGGAGCTACATTTTCTGTCCATCAATCAGCCGACTTGTGAGATGGACCAAGAGGAGAAAACCAGGCGCACTTCAATAGGAATTCAGGAGGACTAGTAAGCAAATGCAGTACTGAATTTGACTAAAAACAAACAGAATGTGAGACATGGGGCAAGGAGGAAGAGAGACAAATGGAAGAGTAGAGGGAGCTGTGATTGAGGACTGACCTCAGAAGCACTCTCAGCAGCCTTCTTCAGACCCCACCCATCACTGGCCCAGCGGTCTGCAACATTCCGGTCTGATGTGATGAAGAAGTTGTCAAAGAATATGTCAGAGGACATAGACCAGAGCTCAAGCCCCACAGCAGTGAAGGGGGTCATGCGGAAGGGGTGCAGATCCTCAAAGAAGTCAGGGTTGGAGATCTTCCTGGGTTTCCACACACCCTGGGGAACAAAAAGAAATAAAGTTACCGTTGTGGGCTGGCTGTAGATTACCGGTGCAAGGCTATGCTGCCACTGCACGCGTGGTAGTTACATGGCAGTAGGTAAAGGTGAGAACGGACTTCCTGGGTATATCACCTGATAGTTGGAGTTGTCGATCATTGGAGGTTTCCACTTGCCCTTGTAGCTTGGGTTTTCGATCATGGGTCGCTCCCAAGTGCCGCAACCGGGTGCAGACTCACACTTGGGGTTGGGGATCTGCGGGGCCTCCCATTCTCCATCCATTTCCTCATCCCTGGAGAGAGGAGGTCATGCACGTCACACGTGTCAGACGTGTTGGTGGTACGCTACGCAGCGTTAAGATCGATAGCCTTACAGCGGACATGCCAAAGGCAAAAATTTTCAGCCGAAAGCTCAGAAGGGACAGTTACCAGTCCTCAGGCATGACTGCATCTGGGTCAGGTATATATGCTGGCTCATCGTCCAGCCAGCCATCTGGCTTCACAGCGTCCTCATCTGGGATCTTAGCTGGGGCTTCCTCATCCCTATGGGTGCAGACATGGACACTTGCAGAAGCACACTACTCATTTCTGTATGACCAATCAGGTGCAGGCACAGACAGGATACACACCAGTCGTCAGGCTTGACTGCATCCGGGTCCTGGATTTTGGGTCTCTCATCCCAGTCTTCAGGTTTGTGGTCATCTGGGTCCTCAATCTCAGCTGTGGGGTTGACTGCTGGGGTCATGTCATTCAGAAGGTTCCCACTGTTAATTACCAGCTGGTCCACCAGGATCTCAAAGCTGTTGTCGGGGTTCAGTACTGTGTAAAGAAGCATCAATTATGAGTCAGATCACGCAACATTCTTAATATCAAGTGTGCCAATGGATTTGTATGCATTGTGAGCAGAACTAGGTGTAGCAGAGGGGGTTACCCAAGGTGTACAGGTGGGTCTTCTTGTCCGTGTAGTAGGTACGCAAATCTGCATCTGGCTTCTTGGCGTGTTTTTCCTCAAATTCGCCGGTTTTGGGGTTTTTATGACGGAAGATGAAGTGAAGCTTATAGTCCTCACCACACTTGTCTGGCCCGAACATTATCGTATAAGGGGTCTTGTCTACAAATTGGTCCTGCGAAATAAATATTTAAGGTCAAAGATCCTGCAAGTTGATTGCTTGGTCCATGTGGGTCATTAACCGAGTCATTCCCACAGCCTCATAAAACTGTAGCATTAGGGAGTAACCCTGCCATCACATTGTTACGAATGTGCAGTCGAATCAATTTAAGTTCAGCCCATTCTGACTTTTCAGGGTTTCATAGCACAGCTAAATTTAGCGAAAGGTCATGGAGAGGTTAGGGATGCATTACATCCTTCCACAGCCACCTCCCGCCCTTTCGCCAATAACGTTAGGACTGCAAACTCATAGCCAGACCGCCCTGTTACCACCAAACAACTTAATTAGTTTCAAATAGGATATGAGTTTAAGGATGCATAGAACACAGCTGTCCACGTAGCCTTTCAGGCTTACTAAATATAAAGCCGGGGGCTGCAGACTCACCAGGTCAAGGTCAGGAGTTTGAGAAAGCAGCTTCACATAGGCGCCCCCACAGTCTATACCTGTCTGGAAGTTCACTTCATACCTGGACAAGGGGGAAAAGAAAGTTAGTACTACACAGAACTCACAATGCACATTTCAGTGGCTAAAGTTTTTGCTGCTGTAGCAAAAGCTAATAAAAAGGCGTGAAGTCATTCTAACAATGGGAGATGAAAACTGACTAGACTGAACTGTAAGGGTGTATTCGCACTTGGCACAGTTGCCTTGTACCACGTAAAAAATATATATATTTCTGTATTTTACCAAATATGAACAAATTTGTGTGTGTTGCATCCAGTTGTTCCTAGATACTGTTGTAAATTTCCAGCAAATACTGTACCTCTGCCCTAGACCAAAATCACCCCTTTGCTGATAGTTTTTTTTCCCCCCCTTCCTAATCAGGGCTTTAGATAACGGGCATGAAATCTGGCCAGCTTAGCGGAGCGTGGTACATGCTACCGTGTTGGAAATCATGGAAGCGAGAAGCACTGAAGTGGCGGTGAAGAAAGGGACAGCTCAACGGCCACATCATCTTTTAAAAGAGGAGATTCCATGCTTAAACGAGATACAAAATGAGGGTGGTGTGGCGGTAATTTTTGCAGTTCAAAGTCCAACACATTTATTAAACATAAGGAAAAGCCGGCGTCTGGACAGATTTTTACACCTGCTCTCTAAAGCCCTTAACATATAACATATACTAAAATGAACAGTAAAGTGTACAGAGGACAACATACATAAGGGACAGATGGAAACATGATACAAATCCAAAGGGCAGCTATAGGAACAGTACTTACTGCACAATGACTGGCTTGGTATCGAAGACAAAGGGCCTCAGCATTGGAGAAGAAATGGCATGGTGCTTCGCACGGGACTTTAGCACCAAACCCTTATCTCCAGGGAGACGGCTGTCAACCATTTCCTCCACTGCCCATTTTCCTGGAGGAAGCAACATTAACCATCATGGTCTACGGCAGTGACATAAACCAGATTCCAACATAAGCATGTAGAAACAGCACGAGTTACAGGGTTTTAGGATGGACTCATGGAACTGGAGCCAAGTGAATTGCTTACCGTCATACTTAGCGATCTCCTCATCAATGCCATCCTTCTTCGCTTTGGACAACACCCAACTGAAAGAGTAAAAATCTCACTAAGGCATTTCAGAATAAGGGAACCGTCTTTATTCATAGACTCTGCGCACTGAAAACAGACCATGTTAGACCAATAAAAAGTGACCAAAAAAGGCAGCTGTCACATCAGTTATATGGAGCACTGGCCCCAAAGGTTGTTAAGCCATCTTGTTTTCTTAAAGCCAGTTAGCTGACTGTTCTCTGTGAAACGTTTATCAACAAGAACAGCTAGATATTTCATCAGGGAAATGCAGGCTATGCACTGAGCTCAAGGGTATAACAGCAGGGCCCGACTTTGAAGTTGAACCGAAAACAATTACGTCACAAATTCACGTCTTTATCCAATATGTAGCTGCTGCGGACCATTAGTTATTTTACAAAAACATAAAAATTTCCTTAAGGAATTGGAAACGGCATCATTAACATGTATTTCAGAAAATATTTTACAGAGTTTAGAGTGCAAACTTGTCAATACATTGAAATTCAAATATAAAATTCATAAAATGGATGAGTCATGAAATTTTTGTTGACAATTAGTAGTCATACAAATAACAGCAAGTAATGATTTGTTTTTTTTTCCCCTGCTAATTTTATAACAGTATTATAGTGTTAGTCTAATCATCGTTTAATAAAACACATACATGTTATGAAGAAAAGCTATAAGCATTGAACCATAAATAAAAAAAATGCATTTTTGTTTGCCTTTTAAGCGTGGGAAACAAACTGTACAGGGCTAATGTGACAAATTAGTTAAGTGCTTTGAGAAAAACAGTTGGTGTTACTACCCAATCCGTTCCACCTGTCCGATTTGTACCACACACATACACCACATTAATGTACCACAACACATCCATGTAAAGCGCCTTGGGACGACTGCTGTGAAAGGCGCTGTACAAAAATAAATTGAACGTCATATTTCCTGGCACCGCCCAATCCGTTCATCCTGCCATTTTGCAGCAAACTATATTGTTTATATTAGCAGCAAACTAAGCTGGATACCTTGTCTGAATGAAGGAATCCAAGCTAAATGTAAGTGAACGAGTCTATTTAAGAAATAGAAGTCTGTTTAAACTGGGGTACCGTAAATCTCACAAGTTATCCAGCTAACGAAGAAATCCAGCTTTGTGAATCGTGATACAGCCCCTTGGTGTTAATGATTCCACTGACAGGAAAAAAAAAATCTGATTTCTTTGATTGCCGTTTTAAGTTTTCACTTTGGCTGTCTATTTCCAGTTTTTGGATTAACACTATTACAGAAATAGCCCATATCTGAAATGTTTGTATTTCCATCAGTTGAAATTGAAAACGACATGGAATTCTGGTATAGTTATGGCTTTGGGTCACTTGGAACCGAAATATGAAGTTCGGAATTTGTTTCAGCCATATTTATATCACTCCAAATCAGTATTTCTTGTTTGTCCTATTGGCATAATCTACTGACTGATGCAGCATATATAGTGGAAGCTGTCAGGGACAAATGAGCGCTAACCAAACATTAAATGGTACAAAACATATGGAGATACTGACAGAAATATGACATTTCTGTTTCATACAGCTGAATGGAAATGATTTTAGCGATTATGTGAAATAATCACGGTCAGCTCAAATAATCGTGATCAGGTGATTATGTATTAACCCCAAAAGGCTTTAATGTAAATATGAAAATATTTGCAATCAGACAATTGATCATAAATAAAAAGGAAATCATAGAGCGATCAACACTTATAAAGGCTGGTGGAATCTCACCTGTCCAGTGTTCCCTTGTTAAAAGATTCTGCAAAATAGTGATCTCCCATGGGTTCTGGAGGTTTGTAGACCACCTGGAGAGATTTGATACTTAACTTTAATTCCATTTGGACTTTTTAAAAATACACCATACACAGAAAGAAAAAAGGACAAGGAATTCATTTAAGACAAAACAACATTTATATTCTGAACAAAAGACACTGCCAGGTAAGATTACTAACAATTTCAGAACCATCAGAGGTGGATAGTTCAGGTCCAGAAAGTAAAAATCCAGACCAAGATATTGTTTCAACCAACCAACTGAGTACTCTGTGACCTACTCTTTATACTTAACTGGTTGGTTGAAACAAAAGTGGACCTGAACTATCCACCTCTGAGAAGAATTTAATAAACACACACATATTGCATGTGATGTATGGAAAAAAAGCAAAGAAACCTGGCATTAATGAAAGCCCACAGTTCCCCTAACTCAGGGGTGGGCAATCTTATCTGCAAAGGGCCAGTGAGTATGCAGGTTTTAAGGATAACCATTAGGTCAGCTGTTCAAACCCAGGTGTGAGGACTCTTCAGCCAATTAGTCCTCTAATTAGCGACCTAATTAGGGAGTTGTAGCGAAGATTTGCATACACACCGGCCCTTTGGGGAAAAAATTGCCCACCCCTGCCCTAACTCTTCAAACCCAGCAAGTTAGGTAAAAACATGGAGTATGGTTAACCAAAGACTAACCTTTGGCAGAGCAGGTGGGGGAGGGGTCTTCTCCCCATCATCATCATCTCCCTCATCTTCCCCTTCTCCTACAGCATCCAACTCATCCTCCACATTGATGTCATCATCCCCTTCGTCTTCTGCCTGTGCCAGCCACACAACACCACTTAGGGCTAAAAGCAGAAGACTCAGCCTCCAGTTGAGCGTCATGATCTGCAGAAAGAGGGAAATCAAGCAGGAGAACAATTGGGAGAATAGCCAGGGACAACATGGCCAGGAAAGAGAACTAAGGCTTATGCTAAAAGATTAATGAGATATTTTGAAGGAGGAGCACATACAGAGGACAATTGTGGACTCAGTCTGTGTACTTTTAATATGATATTTCATAAGTGTCAGAGTTGTTGCAAGGAGCCACAAGTTAGAAGTGAAAAGATATAACTGGGTAAGGCGTTGAAGTGTGTTAAAAGGCTGTTCAACAATTAACCGACTCCCCTTGACCAGAATGCAAGAATAAACCAAAGTGACTGCACTACTACCACTAAATCCTCCCCCATAATGACTTCCAGCCTCCATCCCACCCCCCAGCCTCAATGCAAGCAATGGCTGACAATCATCACCATGGCAGCACGGGCCTTAGATTTGCAGCCTAAGCCTGTTTCACTAATGAGATTAAAGTCTAACAACATTTACGCGCACACTCAAACATATTACATACCACCCATATGTCAACATGTCGGACATATGCCTCTCTAATATCAACCACAACCCAATGACGTGCATCTGCGCACACACTGACAACTGTGTGCATCTGCTTGGTCACTGTAAACAGACAAACTCTATGCCTGAAACTCCTATTATGCCATTACTGCCTGCTGTGCTTCATCTCTAGCACATTCTCAATAACAACTATATGCTTAAAAGCACCAGCAGGACAAATTTTCATTTAAGAGGAATAGAGCTGTAATATCTGGAGTACAGTGTGCATGTGTTTCAGTATTATAAATGCAATATTTCCATTGATATTCTTACACACTAAATCCCAGAATCTGGCTGAAGATCTGAGCTAGACAGGGCATGTCTGTCCTGCCTCCACACGCTCCACCCAAGTGATCACACCCAGACAGTAGGCTCCAGTCAGTATTGTTCCTGCCTATCCTGCTATGAATGAGACACCGCCTTGGGACAACCTACTAAAGGCCATGTACTTAAATTTTTCACAGACTACACAGCAGTGTATGTGTACACTTCACTGTGACAGGCAGCCTCCCGTGTCCAAATCTGGATAAGAGCCCCAATAACTGATTTTGCTTTCAAAGACAGCTCTGTACCATATTTTCCCATGTTTGGTGTTGATGTTGCCCAGTTTGAAACGCTCACATCACTTTGGGCTACAAATTAAAAGGTCCTGTCAATAAGGACTGCCACATTTGGTACTTCAATTTCAACAATAGATTTTTACATAAAATGTTTAGTTAAAGCTGTTACACTAGGTATTTAATGATGCATTTTAGACTAAACACTTTAGTCAAGGGCACAACAAGTATTCCCCATCATGAGCACTTGCAACTACAACAGCAATTAGACCCCTAATAGGCAAAAAAGCAGGTAACTGTGTGCATTTGTGACTTGAATGGCCTGATTTTTTGGGTAACAGGAAAGACTGGATGGATCAGTGCAGATCTACTGAAGCAAATCAATGATGGATGCATTCCCTTATCTGATCTAACATCCATAGCCATCTTCTGTCTGCCTAACAAAATACAGTACAAATAAATGAATTACAAATACAACCATAACGTATCCCTACATGACAGAACACAGCAGACTGTAATTTCTTTAAATCACTATTACATCTGTACGAAACCAGAGCATCTACGAAATTAAAAATGGGAGTAAACCTTTTATTAAGGATTAGGTGCAGTCAGGCTACATAATGCAAGTCATGGAGTTGAGGTTACATCCCGGTCCTTAGTGAAAAGAATTAACAGACAATCACGTTCAATGTTTGCAGTTCATCATCAGCAAGAATCCAGCAACCCTACATAAAGCCTTCGCAAAATAAGTAAATAAGCAAGCAACCGTACGAGAAATTAGAAGGTAATAAGCAGCACGATTGCGCCCACGGACGAGACTAGGCGTGACGGCAGTACTTCCGTCCAAACAGTGGGAGCGCTGCGGAATTAATGCTACCGAAAACGCCTCATAAGTACCTTTGAAAGGCTGTGTTGGTGTCGTTATACGGAAGAGACGGGGACAAGGAAACTGCTGAAAAATCATGAAACCATCAACAAGTGATAAAAGTGTCATGAGAGGCGTCCGATGACGCAAGGAAGCCGCGCAGGCGGGCGGCGGCTCGGCCCACACCTCGCGCGAGCGCCGGCCGCTTCGGTCCGCCCTCTGCTAGTAGTAAACGCGGCCTGGAAAGCATGTCTTACAATGGAGGCGGGGAGTCACGGGCACATTAGTGTTCATAACTAGCCAGATGTCCCGTCCGGGGATTAAAATGCCTAAATTAATCCACTACAGGAGCAGCGTGCCACACCCCCAAGGTGCTACTAGCGCTTGGAGCAAACCCGCCGATGTAGCTGAAAACACGATTAAACCACACGCACTGCTGGGAAATATTTTTGGAGAAAAAAGAAGCAACTAACGCAGCAAGCGACGTTGCTGGCTATTTCACCACACGCTGGTCTGCAAGAATAGTTCACCGAATAACTTTCTGGTCTATAGACACTTTAAATGTAATATCCGCAGTACATTTACTCAACTATTCCTTAGTAAAAGTTTAAATAAAATGTGGGCCATTATTCGGCATTCGTGATGTGTGCTTATAAATCAAACTGTGTACTTTTTTACAATGCTATGTACAGAAGTTTAATGAAATAGCTTTTAATGGCTTCATTCATAAATAATCGCTTTTCATATATGAAAGGATACAATCCCCAGTCCTTATTACTGTGAAAAGTTCCAAGTGGATAACTGTGTGTACAGTCTTCTTACTTCTGACATACTGAATACAAACTGCCAGAAAGCTAAAAACGTGCCTTTCGTTTTCGATAAGAAGGCATGCTAAGTTAAAAGAGCCGCTAAAAAGCTAGGCCGCATTAAGGATGAGGCGACAGGCGGAAGAATCTTGGCAAAGTCGCCCATTAACTAGTCTGCTAACTAGACCCTGGCTGGTTTCGTCGCACAGGGCACGACGCAACAAGGACTACAAGGTTATATAAAGTCGCAAACCATAACATTTGGTTTGAAAAAGGAAACTAAAATAAACCAGAATACCATGCCCCATCGGGGCGACCAATTTGACCTGACATCCTAGCATTTAGCTACTACTGCTGACAAGCCTGCGTCCACGCAGCCATGCAGAATATACTCAACATTATATTTTCGCTCTTGCTGATTTATAAGCATAAAAACAAATTTGCATGAAATAGACCCCTCGGGAAAAATAATATACTTTTTATCTCTTCTAAACAGGTGCAATTTTTAGTTTTACGCCTTCACTTACCTCCTATTTCCCGATGTAACCACCTGGAACTACTGCCAGATCACGTGTGACGACGACCAGCACTGACACCATAGCCCCACCTCCCGCAGCTACTAATAGGCCACTGTCTAACACTGTGGCCGCCTTTTGGAAATTGTAAAAGTCTGGTAGGTTATCCGATCTGCCAATCACAACAAGCGCCTAGCCTCCGACCCCAAACTCGTGGATGAGGCCGATTGGTTCAGGAGTAGCAGGAAGCAAACATTGATTGGATCATGAAAAACCTGTGGTGCAATTAGAGGAAAACTGGGGGTATACTTATGTCGGTATTTCAATTACTGAGGCAATGCATTAACTAAAAAGTGAAGAGTAATGTTTAAATTTCTATGTTTCCGCAGCGAAGAACCTGTAATATGCAGGATAAGTAGATAGGCGACTCTAAGCCTTTTTCCTCGGGGGTACAAGATGAGAGCGCTCAACCACTCTTTCACCCAGATAGATAAATTCGTGAAAAACTTGAAATACATCCACAATAAATCATTATTACGCATTGATATGACTAACACAAGGCAAATATAACTGTATAATTTAATTTTATTTAACTTAATATTTTCAAATAGGATTTTAATCGGAAGAGCAGGGAGTGCAATTGCACCTCCGGTAAAATCGCCTTTGTGATCTGTGTTATAATATTTCAAACATTAGCTTGTTTGAGTAGGATAATGTGACAGTGATGATAGATAGATAGATAGATAGATAGAACTGGAAATGCCAGAGTAGGGTCATGTCAGTGACCGAGTCAAATCTGTAGAAAAGATTAATCTCTTAAACCTGTTCTAGTTTCCTTGCACCGCCAGGATACTCAGCTGTTTGTAGTCAGTGACGTTCTTACGCTGCGGTTTACGTTCCACCTTGGCCCTGCAATACTTCTGTCAGACTCTAGGAGTCCCTAATATACTTCGTGCTCTGTTGCAGCAATAGTCCATGGATGACAATTGTTCTGGACCGATGTACTGGTTTTTCTTTCTCCACCATTCTATACTGTAATATTATAGGTATGCACACTTTCAATGCTATTGCAGTACAAATTAGTATGTTGATGAGTTTCCAGTTGAGAATTAGATGGGCTGAGATCTTCACCAACTTCACCGTCTGCTTGACAGGAAGTCTAGGAACCCATTTGCAGATTGAGTTACTTGAGTTTTCCCACCAGCTCACCTGGCTCAGCTGAAGTTGAGGAATATCATTGTGGCCTAGGTGGTCCTCTTATCCAGATGTTCAAGGGGAAAAATGTTCTTTAGCCTAAGAACACATAGGCGCCCACACAGACAGTGTGGTCATTCAAACCCACAACAATGCTAACTGCGGAGCCACCGTGCAATTTACTGGTAATGGCACATACCTTAATGCTTAATGCCAGTTATATAGTGGTGCTGTTTACTGTGAACATTCTTGAAAAGGCCTTAGCCATTTAATCATTTGCTGATGGAAAACCTCTCAAACAACATCAGCACACTGAGCTCCGCACTGTAACTGTACAGCTAACATCGTCGTAATATTAGTGTGTCTGCTAATATCATGGCATGGTATTATGTAGATTAGTTGAGAATGCCTAGAATCCACATTTTATTCATGTTATGGTTTTAAAAAATAGAATTAATCCAATTAGCTGATACAATACTACAACATAACTATGTTTACTTAAGGCTGCTGTACTTTTCTGATCTATTAAAGGCCATTTATTTGTACCTCTCTTCAACTAACCAATAAACCCCAAACAATAGATTATTACAATAATTAAGGTTTTATTACAATTCACAGATTTAATAGATGGCTACATTAAATAGTTGATCTAAATTACTGTATATACTGTATGGATATATATGATTATAGATATAACTGTAGTTTTATATATCCATGTATGACAACAAGCATGATTATAATAGTCTATTCCAGTGCAACTGAGAAGAAGAGGTTTGCCTGCATGACGAGACAGCAAACTAGGACTTGCTGTTTATCTTATGGCCTGCACACCAGCACTGTCACATTCAGGCACCTGCCGATCGTCACCTTCAGTTTACCTTCAGGTGGAACTGGCCAAGCTCACTCCCTGAAAGCCTCACACTCACAGACATCCACACTCTATTAAAAAAAAAAAATCAAGTCAAATTTTCTGATTTTATTTACCATGTACAATTTGAAAAATGAAAAGAAAAAAATAAACATTTTCTTTGGATACAAGGAGAAGCAATGTAGCATTGAGATCTAACACTTTTGGAATTTTCACATGATTATATAACCAAAATGATTTCCAAAGCAAGGTTGGTCTTCTGTAATAATAACTGCTGTCCAACTGCAACTTAATTTTAGAACATACCTGTAGCTATTCCCTACTGCCAAAGGCCCCCACATGAGAGTGATTAATAGGCGTTTGTTTCCACCCTGTAAAGTGTCAGGGGAACTCCATGTAAACTGGAAAGACGTCCATGAACAAATGTTATTATGCACGGACAAGCGTTTCAGGTAGGACAGTGTTACAGTGGCAGGGCTGCTGAACTGAAAATAGCAGTTATTTGTGTGACAGGCAGCTGTGGTGAGCACATCGCTGTTGCTTTTGGCCTTCAGTTCATCTCCTGCATCAGCTGAGCATGTTGCACCAAAAAGGCCTCTTTTGCGATGAGGCAAGGAGGGGAACGAGGGGAGTCGACACTGCATCAGAGGAACCTGGCCTTAAATCTCCACCTACATTAGCCAAACCCCTTCCAGTTTCCTGTTACCGAGAAAATACAGCCTGCACGTCTCGTCATCTAATTTTAGGTATTCCATCAGGAAAGGTCAAACGCCGACAGATCTCTGGTCATAATAAAATAAAAGCCCCAAAATCCCAAAATAACACCGTATTCTATTTCTCACCAGAATTATTATTATTGCACTAAAAAATGTACTTTTGAGCACCTGGTAGGATAGAGAGCATGGTGCACTCAGAAGAGGTGTATAGAGGAAGAAAAATAATCCACCACGGGGAAGAAAGCACCCCATAACCTGAATAAGCTGCTTTATGGCATTGCTGTGGGCTGAGAAACAGGCATCGGCCATGTTGTCCACTGGCCAAAGACTCAGTGGGTTGCGTGTCACTATCTCATCCACACTACCCCAGCCTCCCGTTGCTAGGCCATAAGCATCCTTCGAACAAGGATCTGTTGCCATGAGGGAACCGGTGGCATAAAAACACAGCAGTGGCCAATAGGTCACCTTAAAAGCCAAGAGATGCCTTTATCCCCCCAAGTTGAAATTGCTTTTATTTGCTTCTGACAGATCCATGACGACCTGCAAAGCTTAGGTTTAAACCTAAACGTTTTACAAGTGAGCATTGAAAGCATTTCCTGCAGGTACAACAAACATCTGAAGGCTCCCACTGCTGTAGTAGAGCTTGCCATAACTTTATTAAAGTTCTTCCATTGATCTTCCCAGCTTAGAAAAACCCCTTAAAGGCTAAATAACAATGTCACTCCAGTGGCCTCACAGTCAGACCCAGGATCCAGGATCCGCGCAACCTCACTAATGCCGTTTCCATACCACAAGTGGAAGTGAGCGTTCCCACGTCTTCCCCAGCTTGTGGCAGTGTTAGCGTGTAATTATGAAGACTCCACCATCTTTCCCCGCTGACCTCACTCAGTGGGCAGACAGTCATCACAAGTGATTCCACCCACTGCTGGGGAGACCAGGCAGCTACGGCATTAACAGGCACCAGGGAAGCAACTGCAGAAACTCTACCAGCCGCTTTTAGCCTGTATGACTGTGCGCCCTGTGACTGTTTTCAGCTCAGCCCTGCACCTGGGGACACAAACATCCAGCGTAGCAGAATGTTCCATTTATGCATTTAGATCCCACACTGTTGGCAGAGTGCACTGAATTCATGACAACAGTAACAATGCAGATAGTGACAACCAGTTACAAAGATAAGTATTTCCTTTACTTTTCCTGCTCTGGAGGAAAAATACAGGACTCTAAACAGACTGATCTGAATTATCCTCCAGTGTTTGGATTTTGCAGGAATATCCCCTTAGCTTCATGCTGTATTAAGGCAAACTGCTAGCTGATGGAACACAGCATTCCCACAAATATGACTCAAAACCCACTAACCATGATGCTCTCAAGCAGAATGATTAGAAATGGCCCCAATATCCACCTGAATGGAGCCTTGTTTCCACAGCACTAGTTGAACATTCCTCCAGATTCGGGGGTTTTCAACTTCTCTTGAATAAGGGACCCCAAAATGGGCTGGGCACCCCCAACCATGAATGAGTGATAACACAAGTAAAGACTGGGGCTGGGGGACGTTAATATTTGTTTCTCGGGGGTGAATCTCCTTGAATATTCTTCATGTTGCGTAAACCAGACCCCCTGCAGCTCCTCAACCAGGGGGTCACGTGCACCAAGTTGAAAACCCCGGCTCTAGACTTGCTTTGCAATGACAATTAAGTATACTGTATGCATCTACATACATACACACATATTCAGACATGATTATAATCTATGTGTTCCCCTACATATATATATCTGCCCATGTATGTTCAGTCATAAATATCCAATACAATTTGGCAAAGGAAAATCAGAGCATTAAACCGAAATTATGTAATTTACCAATTTGACCTTCAGGGATGGTGCACTGTGTGTGGTCACTGAGTATACCTGTAGTGAATCTGTCCATTCCAAAGCAGCATTTCATTTTAATTAATTTATTTAAAGGGCAACATGATCCAGCAAGCCCAAAAACAATCACCAGTGTAATTACAAGAAGTCAAACATAAAGGTATTTACACATAAGGTCTACAGAGTACTAATCTGTCCTCTCTGCCATGGCCTCCTGTGTCCGGCAGGTTCTCCATGAAGTTGGTTGTTCTTAATTCGGCCTGCTACACCAGCTCCTTGCCAGCAGGTGGAGCCCTTGGACCGCACCAGAGAAATGGCTCCTGAAGCTCAGTTTGATCAGCCACGAAGGGCCCGTCCATCAATGTGCACTCTGGGGGGGATTCGAGAGGTACTGCCAATGGGCACTGCTCATTCAGCCTTTTTGATGAAGATCTGAAACACAATGACAGATTATGGTCAGGCTTCCAGTGCTAATTAAGACTTCTAAATAACCATCAAGCGTGAATGTGCATGCATGTGTCTGAATTGTGAGGGACCGGCATCCTATCCAAAGTGTCGCTAGCGCTGGACCCTTTCATGTCTGGTAATAAAAAGACGGATGGATATACAGTTGGATGAAAATGAAAACTCAGATTTCATCACACAATAAAACACTGCTAAACGCACAAGTCGTCACGTTTTTACATGAAGGGCATTACGGTCATTCCGGTTATGCTAAGAATTTCTGCTGCTGCACACAGTAAACCAGTTGTGAGAATGTCACCGGGCAAACAACACAAGCCAACGGCTACGGAGCATTTCGCTTTACGTGTCACTATTAGGGCTTGGCTTTCCGGTCTCCAAGCTCACTTCACGGAGGGAATTGACAACACAGTCTCTGCTTCAAAATGGTATTTTGACACAATACTCTGGTTTATTGTGACAGCTGGCTGGATGCATATCCTGTAAAATGAACTCCTGGTCATACCTCACTGAGGATGACCCAGACAGGCGAATCGGTCGTCACAGACAGTCGGAGGGCCTCCAGTGGTCCAAAAGCAGGATCCACTTCTCCTTCTGCAATGCCATTCTGAAATGCGCCTAAAGGAAAAAGATCAGGACGCTAGTATTAGATGCACTCATACACAGACATATTTCAATGTCTTTGTGAGGATTTCCTTTTCATCCACATGCGAAACCTCAGATTCCAACAGAGCTAAATCACATGCGTTCTTCAACAGTCACAATCCTAAAGGGGTCGTTTTTTTTTTTCAGAATTAGTCCCCGCAAAGACAGCTAGACATATATACACGTCTCCCACTGTCAACCCATTCAGAAACATGCTGGAAATATTGATTATAGTAAATGCTGTCCAAACATAACCTGATTATCTACACCATGATGGCAGCAGTTCAGTGTATTGGCTGAAAGGTATCTACTCTATATTTATTTATTTATTAGATGCTTCCATCCAAAGTGATGTACATTTGAGAAAGCTGGGTCAGATATTTCCTGGAGCAACTGGGGTCAAGGGCCTCACTCAAGGGCCCAATGGAGTAGTCGCTCTGCTGATCCCGGCATTTGAACCACCAACCTTACCATCACTAGCACAGGGTTCTATGCCACCGACCCATACATTTCACAGTAATGATACCCTTAAGCTGACTGCAGTTATGCTGCGTTACCATGCAGTGCTACAGGCTAAGTGCTGCACGCATCTGTCCAACATAACAGGAAGAAGCGTCCTGAGGGATGGTAAGACTTGATTCTGCACGCGATCGGAGCTGCGCTAACAGAATATAGCACACACTCCATAATGCAGAAGGGAGGCACCATTTTAAAAAATGTTATTAGCTGCTTCATGAGGCCTTCCCCTATGAGAGCACTCAACGCCAGCGTTCAGGCGCTTCGTACGGACATGGAGAGGCTGAGGATAGAGACAGATGAGCTTGAACCCCTGACCGTCACATATTAGAGGAAGTGAAGTATCAACAATCCCATGCGCTATAAAGTGTGAGTAATGTTAAATAAGATGAGGACCTGTTTTGGGCACATTCTGCTGATGACAGGCGGAACAGAGGCCAAGATGCAGCCCACAGCCCCCCTATCCCCACGAGGGCAGCTAGCATGTCGGTGAAAAAAATTCACCCGTACAAAAAAAACTTATGGTCAAAACACGAGGTGGGGGCACTGCTACTGTGCGTACTACATTTAACTGAGACTGACAAGTTGTGTAACTAGTCGTCTTACTTAAAGTGGAGCTAAAGGAAATAAATGCAGGCTGCTCCCACTTAAGATTATCGCCTAGTTGAATAAATGTAAACATGAGGCATAAGATATGGTATTATAATCAGGAAGACGCAGTGCTTTCATTGGTTTACTGTTTAGGGAGTATAAAAAAATGGACCAGTGAATGTTTGACAGAGGAGTCTAATATTCATAGATACTGTACAAAAGCGTACTACTGCCAGGCACTTATTGATCTGGAGGAGAGCACTTATAAATTATGAGCTCCTCAATGAAAGGGAATGAATGAGCACTTATTGTAATTTATGAAGTCATCAGCTATGGTGTTACTCAAAACTCTGACTGCGCAGTTCGACTGCGTTTTTTTGGAAGAGTGCTGCTTTCATTTAAACTGCTGATCCCCTATGGATATGCATTTTGGCCATTAAATAAACATAATCCCCGACTGGAATTCCCATGCAAAACAATGACTATTTGTTTGGTCCCTGATAAAGTGATAGCATGCACACCTACAGTTTGCTGCATGCGGTTTGAACAGGGAATCTACACAATGATTTGCAAAAGTGTCATTTGCTGACATGAATTAATTTCTGATTTGCACCAGGATGTGGAGTCTGGATTTACCATACTTCGCACATTAACCGTATTTTTCTGTGGCATTTTTTTTTATCCACCTATGCATTTAGCCTTTAAAAACAACAGTAACGGAATAATGAGAAAGTTATATTTAGTGAGATTTACATTAAGAAATTCCCTTCCAGCTTTAATCCCACATCTGTCCTTGGGGTAAAAGCTGGGATGAGATGAAAGCACAATTTCGACAGTGCAATAAAATGTGAAATTTTATAACCCACCATAATGAAGCAAATTCCATTTGATGTACGTTCTTTCCACACATGAAGAATAATATGAAACAATCAAATTATGTGGTTTTTCTCTTTTAATGAAATGCCACTGCAATATAAAACAAATTACTTTCAGACTTGTTCTGGTCGGGTTTCTATAAATCCCAGACTAGTGAGGAAGACGGAGCACTTTGAGATGCTGATAGTGTTCGATAAGCCCAAAATCTGGAAAGAAGCACCCACCGATCCTGATAAATCCATCCTCAGTGCGGTGGTATTTGGGTGTTTTCTCCCTTCCCTCCTTCAAGGCCTCCTTCTCTGATTGGATATTCTGAGAAAACAAGGACCACAGGCATCAATTTAGGGTGGAACAGATGGGCACGTAACGGTGTTATTTGCATGCGGAGGGAGGGAGAAAGAATAGAAGAATAGAAGTATAGTCTTGTTATGAAGCCTACATGTGTAGGAGAGACACTAAGAATGTAAACACACACACACACTGTTTCAAACCCTACACAGTTATAAACACATATTCCCACACAGGCATTTACATAGTCAGCACTGCACAATGCACAGCACAAAATGAGGTTTCAAATACAGGATAAGTGGAATTACATTGTACTGTCAATCATTGCCTGATTTTAACCAATAGGGACTAATAGTCATGAATATCTATTGTCTGAACAATTAGCCCACCCACTGTGAACTTTAATGCCTTGGCAAAGACTTTTTTCGCTAATATGAAAAGACACACAGAAACGCAGAGCCTATGAAGGTGCAACATTTTTTTTTACCCCATAGGGGGCGTCTTGAAGCACATACAGTCTGGATGCTTGGACAACTGGCCAGCTGGTGATTCTAATTAAATTATTATAGAGTCCTAATAGGTATCATGTTACTGTTTACATAGCTAATGTGGTATTCAGGGAGCTACAACAAGTAAAAATGTGATGAAAAACTAAAACCGAGTGCTCAGAGGAACATCAGTGAAATATGCGTAATAATTTGTAGGATTTATAGCGTACATTAGCGTATTTTAATTGCAGGAAAAAGCACAGTAATTTATGCACTGTACACCATAAACTGAAACACAATCTGACCTTCAAAACAGTCTAAAGGCTATTTGTAAAACCAAAGATTAAATTGATGCACCAGTTAAAAATGTCGGTTTAACTGATTACACTGTATTCCAAACATGACATTTTCCATTAATGTATTTTTAATTACATTTCTCAGCCTGGCGATATTTCAGTCTCCGGTTCGTGGAGCCCATGGCTGGCTCCTCCCTTAACCAATCTCATTGCAGGGCGCCGCTTCCTCCCTGAATCTATCTGTCTATCTCACAACTGCTCACCCTGCTCAGGGGTCAGAGCTGCCCCGGGGCCTCTTCGCTAAATCGCCTCCCCAAGACCTAAACTATTAAGTCAGCCGAAGCACCCAATTCCAGGGGGTGAGTCATTACCGCAAAATGGCATTTCGGTAGGGTTTCTGAGGTCTCGGATTCTATCGGATAGGTGACGGGGGCTTAATATTTAAACTGCTCAAACCGCCTTTTTTCCTATGAGTCCCTCCCGCAATAAAATCTCCAGTGAATGGCAGAGCCAAACAAACGCCTGATCCGATTACTTGAGTGGAGGGGCTCTTTACTTATTCATTCTGCCTTTATTTCCTGGTTAATCTCAGAGGACTGAGGGCCTCACAGGGCTTCAGGGCTTCGCTCTAGCAGCCTGCTGCTGCAGTGGAGTATAGGTAACACTGCAGTGTGGGTGCTATATTGCGAGGCAAATATAACATTGACTTATTGAGCCCAGTCCTTGGTGGGTTTTCTTGGCGGAGAACTTAATTGACCTAGAGTGGATTTAGCCAGTCCAGCTTAGCATTTTCATAACTCCAAGACAGTAGGGCAGCGCCGCTGTGTCAAACCTCCACTGCTGGGGGTTCAAATCCCACCTCGGTGTGTGTGCAGTTTTCTTCCTGCAGCACAAGCATGTGCAGTTAGGCTAAAAGTTGTCTGAGAATGTGAGTGTGTGTGTGTGTGTGTGTGCACTGTGATGGATTACTGCCCATTCAGGGTGCACCCCATCACTGTGCCCTGTGCTGTATGGAATAGGGTCCAGGCCCCTTGCAACCTGACCCGTATAAGCATTTAGAAGATGGATGGGTTGAATAACCCTACAAGACACTAAGGCTCACCAGGACCAGTGCTGAGTTTGGAGACTTATAAACCAAGAGATCTTACATCAAATGGAAGGACCTCCACTGTGGTGTTGAAGAGCTTGTCCCCTGGATGCTCAATGTTGCCACTGCGGAAGAAGTACCTGTAGGAGAAAGAGCATGCGCTGCAGGTTAACATGTGGGCAAAGTAAATCCAGAGGTGGATAGTTCAGGTCCAGAGAGTAAAAACCCAGACCAGAATTTTGTTCCAACCATGTGACGATGACTCTTTATACTCAACTGGTTGGTAGAAACAAAATGTTGGTCTGGATTTTTACTTTCTGGACCTGAACTATCCACCTCTCAATAAGTGCTTGAGTTTGTGTGAATATGATTCTGTGTGTGAGACAGACTGGCCTCTCAATCCGGACGGGCGTAAAGAAACGGAAGCGGATGAAGTCTCCAGCCACGGGCGTGAAGGCCCAGAAGAAATCCTCCCCCAGGTAGGCCTTCTCCAGCGTGAAGTGCTGGTAGGTCTTCAGGCTGGTGGTGACCTCAGCCAAAGGATTGGCATGCCCCTTGTGAAGGGTTTGCTTTCCGAAATCCTTGTCCTGGAGACACATTTTGGGGATTATGAAATATTAAGAGAATCAATGCAGCACAGATGGAAGCGGACCAGGCCTTAAAGCATGACTGATAATCCAATTTCAATAGTGCACTTTGGTTAAACACTAAAAGCTTTATCAGACACAAACGACTTTTCGGAAGATTTTCCCTAATGACACCTGATAAATGCTGCCCCAACTCCCACTTCCCAGTCTTAAAGCTCAATTTGTGGTCATTCCAATTCTCCAGAATCATGGTCTATGAATGCCATGTCTATAAGAATCTATGAACACATTCATAACACGTTATAATGCATCCATAGAGCAACATAAACAAGTGTCAGATAAATGCAAGTTGCCGATGAAGGTTTATTAAATTTACAGAGCAATGCAAAAACAGCTACTTAAGCAATATGCGGTCGAGGAGGCTCACCTTCAGCTTCTGGATCTTTCCAGCCAGGGAGGAATGAGTCCCCACATGCTGGAAGAGTGAAGGCTTGAAGCGGATGCGCAGGTTGGCCTTCTGCCGGTCGCAGTGTTTCTGCAGGGGCATAGAGACGGTGTGTATCACAAACAGCGAACCACTTTCTGCTCAGAAAAGCGACAGGCTTTCATCAGTTACTGCTGAAACAAGAAAAAAGGCTGCTATCTAATAGTCATACTCATCGACTTATTATTTGATCAGAACAAGAGAAGAGGAAGTCAAAAATAGCTTGGCTAAAAAGCAATTATTAAACAATGAACCGACTTCTGTCAAAGCATGTATTATAATGGCATTCATTCTATAAAAATCAATCGATCATTTTAGTTCAGAAGTTTACATTGTCATGAATTATCATTAGAGTGACAAAATATGGAAAGACGGGTAAGAGTAGATAATGACAAGCCTCTGTCATTGGTAGGTACGTCAGACTGCCGGGACACGATACTCACAGCGTCCTTTTCTGGGTTGCACACTTTCACCCACATGATGTGATCTAGCAGCCAGTCGATCGGCTTGTCCTTGTAAAACATGAGCATGAACTCCACGATGAGCGAGAGATCCAGAGACTTGAACATCTTACCTGGAGGAGAAGGGACAAGACACAGAGCCTTATACAAGCAGACTCTGGTTTAAGTAAATCCGACTTACAGACAACTCGTACTTACGATCGGACTGCTGTTAAGATGTATTAAAAATTTGGGTTAAATAAAATGGTTTGAAATAACAGATGCACACACTACTTTGTGACATTCATGAAAACATTGCATGGTGCTTGAGTTTGTGTGAATATGTTTCCTAGAACTAGATCTGAATCTCAGAAGTCAAACCGTGAACGCCGATCTAAGATAACTTGTACACGCCAGGAAATGAGTCACGCAGCACGTCTCTCAGCCGAAACATAGGATAACGCTTCAGTCTCAGCCTCACATTCGCTGTGATAGCATCGTGCATGTTTACACTAGCTGAATACATATATTTAGACAGTAAAAACACATTTAGACAATGATAAATAGTAACAGTAATTATTATATAATAAAATACATTTTAAAATAAAGATTTCTTATTAATTATTTTAACATTAATAATAAACCATGAATACACTTAATTATAATAATATTGTCGTGCCGAGCACGGACGGAATGGAGACAAAGGCGCAGATGTCAGGGTATCGGGGAATACGGGGTTTAATTACAGATAAGGCAGGCAAAACGCAGACGGACAATACAATGACCAGACTGGGGAAACAAACTGAAATGCGGACTAAACACACAGGACTAATGGCAACAACCAGAAACAGCTGATCACACAGAGATTCCACACGCGGTTAACGAGGGGGCGTGGGGCAGGTCACATCGTTTTTTTTTAACCTTATACATTGTTTGGATACATTTATTTTCTTGCTTAAATTACTGTTTTGATAAATGTGCTTAGATGTGTTTAGTACAGTATATGCTCTTCTTGTTTTATCCTGTTCATTTTGTGTTTAAATGCTAAAAAAAACATATTTAGATATAATTTTTTGGGGCCGGGAACCAATTAATTGGTTTTCCATTATTTCTTATGGGGAAAATTCGATCAGAGCTTGAACTTTTTAGGATTCGATCCAGAGTTCTGAACGGATTAAATTCAAGTTCTGAGGTACCACTGTATTTTGTTTAGATACTTATGGTTAAATTTAGGGCTGGATAGGGGTTAAATATGCCATGTCTAGTAACTTTACTGATTACTGTATTCTTTTTCTTTTTCTTATTATAATTTTATTTATTTATTTATTTATTTATTTTCTGATTTACTTACAAATTCAAGTTAAAGACAGACTTAGTGAACAGAACTCATTTGTAACCTGTGGACTTAGTACTTAAAGTTCAGAGTATGTGTGTGTGGGTTTGCATAAATCACATTTGTAGTAAAACCTGAAACTTCCTTTTGGGGACACCTCTTCAGGTCCCCATTTGGATAACCTCAATTTTATAAAAATCTGTGAATGCAATCAAAAAAGTAAAAGTGCCAAAACTCTTGTATTTTGGTTGGTTACTGATGGTTAAGGTTAGAGCTGGGTAGGGGTTAAGGGTGTTGTGATTGGGATTAGGGTTTTTCCCATAGAAATGAATGGATGGTCCCCATTTAGATAGGTAGACCAACTTGTGTGCGTGTGTGTGTGTGTGTGTATGTGCGTGTGGATTAGTTTATATTACATTGTGGGGACCAAATGCCCCCTACAATGTGATTAAAAACCTGTTTTTTTGACATTGTGGGGACCATCTTTCAAGTCCCCACAAACATCTGTGAATGCAGTCAAAAAACTAAAATGTCAAAAGTCTTGTTTTATTTGGTTAATTCTGGTTAAGGTTTAGGCTGGGTAGGGGTTAAGGTCGTCATGTGGGGATTATGGTTTTCCCCATAGAAATGAATGGAGGCCACAAAGATATAATTACAAACTTGTGTGTGTGTGTGTGTGTAATAGAGGAAGGCGCCCTAGCTAGAGATGAAACCCACAGATTGCGAATCTCATCCCTTCTCATCCCTTCCCATCACGACTGCAGCTGCCGTCTGAATGCAGCCTCGCCCCGCTTATCCCCCTGATCAGAGTGGTTACTCCTCCGCTTAATTCACCATGCATCTCCCTCAGCAGCATCCCTCTGTAGAGAGATCCATCTACGCTGTGGGTGCTTACACCTGGAAGAACTCCGGGCCACTAGAGACCAAAACAGGAATAACAAAGAGGCAGAAACAAGTTGTAAAATAACTGCAGCAAGCACAGGGCTCTTGTTTTGGTGTCTTACCAGAAAAAAATTGCCCATATTGGAGTAATTCCAAATTCCAAAATATAACTGAAAGACTTAAAGGAATGCAGCACCTGTCGGAGACAAAGTATGAAATATAGTTTGGGTTTAAAAATTAATCTTAAAAAGTGTTGAAATTCGATTCTCCCATTTTTTGTAACGAAGCCTTAACCATTTTACTCTAATCAAACGCAAAGTCACAAAAATGCATCTCTATGCTCATACAGGCCTTATCTGCAGGAACTTTGCTCTAAGTCTCCTGGGAAATTCCACAAATATATCCAGGCTATCTAGACATATGTGTCCCAATGGACACAATAAAAGAGACACATGTTTCTGCAAAACACAATAGTAATTTGTAGTAAATTGAACAAAATAATTCTGTTGATTTCAGAAGTCAAAAAACTACTTTAAACTCCATTAAATCAGGGTGGGTTATGTCTTGATCAGTTGGTTCAATATACTGATTTTCATTCTATCCAATTACTGGCTTAATTACTCCAATTATTAGTTTATTTTCCCTAGGCTTAATTGGTGTTTGAGGGTGAGTGCTCTGGGAGCATGACTGTCTAGTAGTTGTTTTGTTCCCTGTTTATCTTTCTCACTGAAACAGCCCTTTTTTGGGTTTTGCCTACGTGGTATGCCAACATTGCTGTTGTAACAGGAAAAGGGCAACCCCATCCTTAATAAACAACCTATTTTATCGACCTATTCTCGTGTCTCGCGGAGTTGTTTGCAGACTCGACAAGAACTATTTTTACAAAGTAGCAGTGACTCTATTATCTTTATTACTCAATACAACGTAATTAAATGTATCAGTGTGTTCCAGAGCACAGCAATGAAATATAAAAATTTACTCAATACATAGTGAAGAAGCTGCAGGCTTCAAGTGCTATAAATGATTTGAAAAAGGCTACATTTTGAAATTTACAGGAATAAATAAATAATTAAGGGAGGAAATTCAAGATAAAATCTTACAAGTGGACAGCCTACCAGGAACAGCATATAATACCTCTTATTTTTGCTGGGTAATATGTGTCGTGAGCAATTGGCATGGAACGGGGAAACAGGAGCGGGAGTTGGGGAGGTGAATATGGGATTTAATCAAGGAGTAAACACACTCAGGAACACACCACAACGTCACAACGTTGATAACCGGACTGGGGAAACATACTTAAAGGCAGACTTAAATACACAGGACTAATGACAGCATCTCCAAACAGCAGATCACATCGGGATTCCACACGAGGTAACGAGGGGCCGTGGCACTCAAGAAGATTAGACGAGCGGGGCATGAAAATATGACCCAGTCTGCTTTGTTTATCAGACAGGTATGGCGTTCCAAAAATGTGTAGAAATTGGCATGGTCCATATTGACTGAAAATGTAACAAGTCGTTTGTCTGTGTTTATTTAGCAATGAACATCCACCTTGTCATTTGACTGTGTTGTTATGAATGTCGTCGATGTGTTGTTTGTCTGCGTTGTTTTGCTTCTAGTCCTGCTGTATCATTCTCCCTGTTTGTGTTGTTCTTCATGTTGTCTTGTTGTAACATTCTCAGACAGACCTGTCATTCACCAATATGCTTTTGTTTTTTTGCAAAGGCTACTTCTGTCAAAATCAAGTTAGGATTGCTTTACTTTTTCTAGCTTTTTTACCTGCATTACCAGGACATGCCTTATTTCCTTTGTTTTAATGATCGTGTGGATAAAAACATGCTATAGAAATAAATGTTGACTTGAATTAATCTACTTGGGATGTCAGGGGCAGGGATGAGATGCAAAATAACACAAACAAACATCACATCAAGATGACATTCATAACAATACAGTCAAACGACAAGGCGAATGAAACATCAAGACAACATTCAAAACAACACAATCAGACGACACATCAGGACGACATGTTGACATATTTGGTCAACATGTAATACAACAGTCAAACAACAGGGAGTACTAAGATGACAGAAGTACAGTTTAAAATTGAATTGGCACAGACAAATGTTTTGTCAGGTGAGAAATCAACACAGGCAATCACATTGTCAAAATAGATTTGTCACAACTGAAGTACAGTTCAAAGTTGAATTGACACAGACAAGTGTTTTGTTACATGTTCAGTCGACATGGAGAGTGTGTTATTGACATATTTTTGGCATAAATGGGAACCTCATAGACAGGAAGCCAAGGGCCTTGTGCTGATGTTATGATTTTTTGTACTCCGTTTCATTTAGAAGGGAATGTACTTGCCACAGTGAGTTAATGTGTCTTCACCTCCAAGCAATGGTCTCCACTCTCAGTAATAGTCCAGAAGAGGTGAACAGTAAATCAGAGCAATCGCTTCTAGACAAGTCCTGCTCCTCCCAAAAAAGTCAGCAGGTGGCTGGCAAAATGAATCTGTGACACAACCTCACAACTGTACGGAAAACAGATTTTTTTTCTTTCCAGCAATGAAGAAGCTCTGCTACACCTGGAAGGACTGAAGATGTGAAAACAAGCTGCTGATGTTTAATGCCAATGTGAGCCGTAGCACGGCAACCGGAGACAGGATCGATGTCAGTGTATATCACCGCTGCGCTCCGATTGCGGAGATGCACCAATCGGATCTGTCACTCAATCGCAGCGTCAAGGCAAACAACGCTTTATTCTCACTTAAAGCGAGCCCTTGTGGTACGCTCTATTTGACCTTTTAAATACAGCACATCAAAGAAATGGCTGCATAGATTGTAGGTGCACACAGCAGTGAGCCTGGGTTTTGCAATGACTCAGTGTCTTCTCACACCAAGGCCTCTTGGCAGAGTGGCGGACGGGCTGCATACAGAGGATCGATGCATGCATTTAAGCGCATTTTAATTTGTGTATATGCATGCATGTGCAACTGTGCTTGCACGCATTTTGCGTGTGTGTGTATACTGTATGTGAGGGTGTGTTTACACACACATGTTTCTGATATGCTTGTCTACATGAGCACTTACAATCCTTTTTTAACCAACACTACTTTGTCTAATACTTCAAATGCAATCTGTGTTCTACCATACAGCCTTCTTACAGTAAGTATCACCATATAACTGTCTTCTTTTTACCGAGATTTGTCTTCCTCCAGGCCTGCAATGTATGCCAGGTTTTGATCTAGATGAACTCTTAATTAGCCTGACTTGAGTTATTGATTACAACATGGCCGGGATTTCACATCAAGTTAAAATTTCTCTGTGAGAGTTTTTAAATGCTACAATCGATAAAAATGATGTGTGATAAATTCTTAATAAATCAGTGTCTTCTAATAGTCCAATCAAGTGAATGTGTGGTTTGGAACTAAAATCCGCATGCTCAAATGGCTACCGGGATGAGATTGATAAATGCACTACACACATCCTCGTGCATGACTGCACATTAGCTGTCAGTCACTGAAGGCTACTGGTGAGCCTCTGAATGCTATACCACAGTCACACTTGAATAAAAAGGAATACATTTAAATAAGGAACATATTGACTTTGACTGGATATAATGTTGATGTATGAGAGAATGTAAATCCATCTATTTAATGTTTTTTCCTGGTCAGGGTCACGGGAGGGACCTGAAAGCTATCCGAGGAAGCACAAGACACAAGGCTGGGGTACACACACACACACACACACACAGGTTTGTAATTATATCATTGTGGGGACTCTCCATTCATTTCTATGGGGAAGACTCTAATCCCAACATGACGACCTTAACCCCTACCCAGCCCTAACCTTAACCATAAGTAACCAAATAAAATATGAGACTTTTAGCATTTTTAGTGTTTTGATTGCATTCACAAATTTTTGTGGGGTCCTGAAAAATGGTCCCTACAACATTGAAATAACAGGTTTTTAATACACTGTAGGGGACATTTGGTCCGCACAATGGCATATAAACCTAACCCACACACACACACATACAAACACGATGGGCGTTTTGAAGACACCGATTAGCCTAACTACACGGCTGTTGGACTGTGAATGGAAACCAGAGTAGAAGGGCCCTAAGATTTCCGGGACGTGGAAAATGCATGGAATCACAGAAAACAGTATTTACTTATAAACGCAGAATTGCACAGAATTTGTGGATATTGTGTTGACATTTTAAACATTTTTTTTTTCACATTTTAGGATTTTTCAGATAGTGTAAAATACCCTTGCAGTAAGGATAGCCAGAGACTTTTTAATAGGAAGGACTTTACCATAGCCAAACCTGGCCAAATGAGTACAAGAATGTTGCCTAGTAACCATAAGGCTTCTGTCCACCTCAGAAACTCGGGGCACATCCCAAGTGGCTCTAATGTTTACAGGAACGGCCCCCTAATTGGCCCTTTCAGCCTTTTGTATCTCCATTGTAGGAAGCAGTGACGCAAGAGTCTATTCGCCAAAGACCCAAACTTGTCTAATGTTTTTTTTCAACTCGAAAGTGACTGAAACTACTAATATTAATAAAGACAAAATTTTTGATGGACATGCAACCATGGGTGACTGCCTATGATCATGGGCACTCGCTTATCTGAGATCAGCCCATGCATCACTGGTAGGAACCACCGGACTCACGACTTCATGTATTTTGCGATAGCTTTAACCTCGATGTAAATTCTGAGCGCACCAAAAAAATGTAGGTTGCCAGTAAGGTTTTTAAAAATTGCGATGGTTGTTGTCGTCTTCGCTCGCCTACTTGAGTTGAAACGATCAGCATCGAGCCCTGACCGGCAGCTTTTCAGGGCTGTTCAGAAGTACCTACCCCAGATTAGGTACTTATTACGCCCCCGAAAATGGCCCTGATAGAGGTCCTACAGGGTTGGGAGACACAAAGGGGCCGGTCCCCCTAAAATGGCTCCCGAGTTCCTGCAGTGGAAACAAGCCTGTGGAGCCAGAGCACAATGTGTCAAACCCTGAAAACCAGGCCCACTGGTGGGGAAAGCATTTCTTTACTCTCCTTTGACTTTGTATTGCATGACGGTGTCTTCTTGTCACTTCCGTCTGCTAACAAAAAACTGAAAGGTACCTAAAAGCTGCTGTGTGACGGGATGCCAACAAGGTAAAGAAGACAAACCTACGTCTTTATAAGCGGCTGAACTGAAAGAATTAGCCTTTAAGGAGACAAAAGTGGATACAGGCAATAGAGACAGAGCGCAATGCGTCATATTCAGAAGTCTACGAGACTTTTGTCTTTAGGAAGTACAAGACACTTCATTCTGACATGAGGGACGGTCTTACTGAGCTCAGCTTCAAGCAACTTGCCATCATATATTTCAAGGGAGATATATGTGAAAGATGAGAAGTGCCTAAGAAAGCAGCACGTATTTAAAAGGATATTGTGCTTTTATTTAGGTCTACGGGCTAATTATGGCTATTTCATTTCCTTTATTCTCTGGTCCAAATTTTATTCTTGCCTTGAGGACTTTTGAAAGTGTTGAATGTTTACACTACGGCAAATGTGTCAACAGCTTAAATGAAAAAGATTAAGTGACATTTTGCAATTGTTTGTGTCTTGGTAAAAATAGGTTATTTCAAAAAACTGAAACAGATCAAAAAACATAAACAGTTACGAAAGAAAAAAAACGGAACTTAAGAAAAAAATAAACTGGATGTCATGGGTTCCTACAGAGGAAATTCATACAGCACAAGGAAAACATATCAACTCCACACAAAGATGGAAGAGAGGTGGAATTTGAACACCTAACCATCTAGGTGTGAGGCAACAGTGTGACCCACTGAACTGTCACACTAACCAAGGAGCAAACATCACTCAAAGCCTATAAAGACAAGTTATTAAGTCACTGAACCTGTAATGAGTGAGTCAAGTCAGAAACACGATGTTTGTACAAACACTGCACTCCACTGTCCAGCTGCAGGTGAGCATTACTGATGCCTGAGATAAACAACATTCATTCACCACATTATGATAACCTAAGTACCTCATCATCAGTATTAAATATAAGCTTTCTGTCACCAAAACAAGGAGTGGAGCTCCATTGCATGCCCCCAGCTCATAATCTATAACTCATTTCAGGATGGCAGGAATCCTGAGCGGCATGTCATCTGCCGCTTACACTTCAGCATGGAATCATGGGATGTAAGGCGAGGTTCCAGAGGTGCCGTCTGCCAGCACGGTTCTGTGGTGGCAAAGATAAGCCCAATCTACTCTCTAGCAGTCGTGCAGCAGAAAACAGCCATTAGTGCTTGAGAAAGATTCTTGCCTAAAGCACTTGGTCAGAAACCGCATCGGCACCATGACGTTCTCCGCTGGCTCAACTGCTTTCGACATCACTCAGAAATAAATACCTCTCACGCATGCTTTTTATTTGATTGCTACTTGGGAACAAAAATGCCATTTGTCTCTCATTTGCTCAGAACTGTAAAGGAGAACCATTCACCATACCTGATCCACTTCGTCTGGCAGAACCCGTTTGAATTTTGGGTCAGACCCTTGGCCCCACAACGGCCGTTTCCACATCTGTTTCGCCAGAAACCGTAACTGTTTACCGCAGGGAGCTTTTCCCGTCTTACTCAACGCCAACCCCCCCCCCCCCCCACAGCCCCATCTTGCTCTCAGAAGCTCCAGAACAAGAAAGGTGATTTCTACACTCATACTGGTAACAGATAAAAAGCCCTTCTATACAGTATTAATCATTTCAGTGATAGCTTGTTTCAGTTAAACTCAGGGGTCGTCACCATGTCCATTGCAAGACTGTTCTGTGTCTGTGACAAAACATTTTCAGTGAGGGAAAAAACAGTACGTGGGCTACATTTTTTAATACTATGTTTGCGGCAAAAAAATGCATTTTGATAAAAATGTCATTTGTAATTTGGCATGGTATCGATCCCTTGTTAAACTCACTACCGATTTGCATGATATATGTTTAAAGAATAACAGACGTGTGAGCTAAGAATGCACAAGGTCTGTGGTGAACTTTCTTCAACAGTGAGTCACAGCAGTCTAGTGACTGGCCATCAAAGGCAAAGCTGACATCTATACTTTCTGACTTTTGCACCCCATACTCCACACACGCTCTGCCTTGCAGAGTTCCAGTGTATCTCCTGCAGTTAGCTCTGTGATGCCGGTACTGACACTTCACCTGCTGCTCTGTTTCTTCACTACAGCGTGATTGTCGCAGAGGAACCAAGCCTAGTGCTCCTGCATTCTGTAGTGCTTATTGCTCACTCTTGCAGATCGCAGAGTCATCAAGCAAATGGTTTAATACTCTGCATTATCTGTTGTTTAATGAAACAATGTTGTCTCTGATGATCAACCAAACCCAATGAGCGGTTATCGTTTGTCTCAGGGAGACAGTCATCGCTGACGTTGCCAAGCTACTGCTTCCGCACTCCGCGGTACCAGCAGGACACATCACAGATGAGATCACCGGCACACCCGGCAAAATACGCCTACGCTCATGCAGTTGTGGCCTGGCTCACCGATGAAGCCCAGTTGAGAGAACTCCAGGATCATCCACTCTTCGGATGGCTGCTGCAGGGCGAAGTTCTTCATGGTGGTGAAGTAGTTTGGCCGAGCCACAATGTCGTCTTCCAGCTGCCCAAGTAGAGAGGAGAGTCAGCCACAGGCTTATAGGCCACAAAAGCCACCACAAGTCACTTAAGTGCTTGATGTCATTCTGCTACATTTACAAATAGCAAGTTTGTAGTTTCTTCATATTCTTTTGTTTCTCAGTCAATAACGGTTTGTTGACTAGATCTACTAGCGGTTCAAGATTCAGTTTAACAGGAATTCATCTAAAATGCATTTTGTCATGTGAAGCGTGCCGTTATTATGTTTTTCTTCATTTTGCTGCTGCTAAAATATCTCCCTGTCATTCTGTTTTCCCCATTGTAGGGCTGTGGTGCCTTGATGTTTAATGCATTTACTCATTCAGTGCTGCTGTTTGCTACAGGCCAGCGTTACAAATGGTGTCAAGATAAAACCGCTTGCAATATAGCTAATGCTACTACACATTTTAAAGCCAATTTCATTCATACAGTAAAGCTCATGGGATACCATGCTGCTCACTGCTTAGCCCCGGGGTTGTGGGTTCGATTTCCCAGGCTCTTTGTGTGTGGAGTGCTCTTGTTCTCCCCATATTCCCGTTGGTTTTCTCTACGCCCATTTCATTCCCTGAGCTTCCTGGTGTGGGCCCCAGGCTTGCACTGGTACTTGATAAGTAGTTATAGAAGCTGGAGATGTAGTAAAGCTCCATCATTTGTTAAAGATTCTTGCTTTTGCTCACACTGTAAAGGAGGTTGGTCCAAGCAACTAGAGGAGGTGGGACCAAGATATCTGATTGGTTGGTCCCACCTCCTCTAGTTGCTTGGACCCACCTCCTCTACAATCTGATTAGTTATCTCTCAGAACCAATCATTTTTTGTTCTACCCTCAGAACATTTTTGTGTAAGTATATCTCCCATGACCAAGATTTTTCATGAAAAAAAAAATATGCATGCATTCTAGTTTAATGTGACAAACACTAATTGACAAACTCACCTGTACATAGTAGGTTCCCTTGGACTGTGCATACATCATAAGGAAACAATAGTCCAAATTCTGTTTCGTCCGCCACCTGGGAATGGAGAAATGGGAAAAACGCAAGAATATCTCTATGAAAAGACAATGGGTGGCATTAAAGAACATCATAATAGCATGAAATGTTATTGTGCTCTGTAGAAAAAGCCATAACATGAACTCCGAAAGCAACTGTTTCCTGAACACGGTAAACAAAAAACAGATGGTGAACACGGTGTCCAAACACAGGTAGATACGCTTGGATCACCCCCAGAACTAGGCTTTCGCTTTTTTTGTTCTAAAGAATACAGAAATGGAGACATGGTAGTACCATTCACCACTGCTTGACTTTACCTCCATACCTACACTTTATTTTACTCTCTGTAATTAGGAGATTATGAGACGCTGCCGCTGGCAGTGGAAATCGATGGCATTTCAAGCACAGAGCAGGTGCCTCTTGGAACTGCTGAGTTACTGATTACCTCTTACCTATCTGCCATAAACACTTGTGTGTTATCCTGTGTCGCCTGGCAGCAGAACACGTTCTGCCGTGTTCTACCCAGTGTTTCCCAGTCTGTTCCTCGGGGACACACAGTTTTTTTTTTCTTCCTATGTTTTTGCTCCCTCCTGCTCAGCTCACTACTGGGAGCTGGAAGGTAGGAAAAAAGTGGACTGTCTGTGCGTCTGCATGGACCGGACTGGGAAACACTGATGAGCTGCACTGACAGGGACCTGGCCGCCAACACCGGCACATTGAAGCTCGAAAGACTGAACTGGCACTACAATGTCAACAGACAAACTACAACACCCACCTAGCTGCAGGAAGACAGAACAAGAAGGCTGAGTGAATTAATGGTGTAGACAAATAGAGAGATCAGTCAACAGTCCACAGCAGCAAGCAAGTCTCAGTTCCTGTTTTTGTTTCTCCATCAACCTTGTGATACAGGCTGCACTAAACTTGTCACAGGCTGGGCTACATTGCCAATGGCTATGCTTACTATTTGGCTGCACATGAAGGTAAATTGGCAATGGCACATGGCCCATACCCTGTAACCTTGAGTCCACGCTGAGCAGGACTAATTCACGCGCACAATGCATTCTCCAATGCTCACACGTGGCTGGAGAGAGCTCACTCTCCGCTGCACTCTACGGCCTGAAATGGCAGTGCCAGTGGGACGCCTAGCAACAGGGCTTTGGAAACGGGCAGGGCTGCCCCAACAGTGATGAGCTCTTTCAAGGTGAGAGATCCAGGGGACATCACTGTACAGAAATCGTAACCACGGGCCATGAGCTCGCATGAACTTGAGTACAGATTAAATGATTGGATGTCAGCTATGAGAAAGGACAGATACACACAAAAAGACCACCCTGCAGATAGAGCAATCAAGCATCAGATAAGCTAAAGGATCAAGCCCTGGTCTAACATATCCAGCATCAACCCTGTGCTTCCAACAAAGGAAACTGCTGACATATGTACTTGTAGCCAGTAGCTGTATGAGTGTGTATTTCTGACTGTCGCTGTAGACCAGGGAGGGACCCCCACCACTGTCTGTACACTGAATCATTTCCATTTAAAGCAGCCCTGTCATGCAATAAGGCCAAGAGTTGGATCCCAAAAGACCGTCACATGTCACTTGCGTACCATGCACTAGACAACCCAGGAGGAACCTATGACTCAACCGAGACAAAAAATGAGGAAGAAGCTGCAATGAGTTTAACCACTAAGGTTCAGGCAGGACCCTCAAGAACTGATGTGTGTGCGTCATTACTGCTGCAGCCATGACCCTGTGGTTTTATTAGGCAGACAAAACACACCGCTTTTCTTCTGGCGTTTAAAAGCAGCCACAATTCAAGTAAAACTCTATAGAATGCAGCTGCTCTCACAAAATATTCTGTTTGGGCTCGTTTCCACTATCCATCATTGCGTTGGGCTTTTCATCAACACACACGTTCTGTGATGTGCTAGAACATCAAACATTGCATAGAAAGTAACGTATGATGTTCCCACTAGTGTGTTGCGTTGCAGTGCATTTTGAAAACACACTACTGCACGCATTTCTCTGCGCTGCGCACTCCCATTGATGACAATGAAAAATGGATACAAACGCATTACAAACTGTCTTTGTGCGTTTTTTACGCCCTCTTTCCCCCAAAAAATACTAGGGACAGTCACGTACAATCATAGAAACTGCTAATACAACGCAACATTAAAAACGCATAAAGACGCATAAGAACATGGACAAATGCGAGATGAAAACACAGAAAAACACATGCAAAAAAATGTTAAAAAACGCAGTACAACGCGTTGCATTTTTCATCGCGTTTATTGGCTTCCCTGGTGTGACCCTACCCTTAGTGTTCTATGCAGGTAGAAAAATACCAAGCAAAACACCAAAGCTGTACGGTACCTGAAATTCCATAGGCGCTGCTCTTTTAGATTTCAATTTAGTATATTTTAGCCACAAGTCAGAAACTGGATAACATTCGATGACATCAGGGGAGTCTATCTGTCGATTTTACCAATGGCACGCGATACGCTCCATTATTAACAGTTATTCTAGGGCTTATGGTCAAAGTATATTGATATAAGTTCACCTTAAAAATTAGGGCTTCACTAACTAACGATGCATCCAATGGTGAACAATAAAAACAGATCTCCAATGCTGGTACTGTTACACTGAACAAAAGTATGCTGTTGTAAAACAGAAAAGGGTTTCAGAAAGTACAACATTGTAATGCTACCTGAGTAAAGCTTGCTGAGCCAGTATGTAATATAAGAGAAGTGGACAGGATGGAGCCAAATGTGGGACAAGCATCCAAAGGCAAAGACGTATTATTACACCAGCCCTTCCTGGATTATGTTTGCTTCGGTTCTGTATATTGGTTTTTCACTCTTCGTTAGTCTTGATAATCCTGACCTCCCCCCCCTCCCCCCCCATTTTGGATGTTAGCACATAATGCCTTTTTTTTGGGAGTCACGTATAGCGAATTGACTCCCCCTTTCTTTTTTGTTTTGTGTAGGAAAAGTTGAGAATTTTTATGCTTATGTGGACTGGGATTTCTGTTCTGGCAAAATTCACAAGCAACAAAACCACACCAGCCCGTCTATCTCGCACACCATGCAAGCCCAACCACTGAAAATAAAACTCAGAAAATGACAAAATCCCCCTTAGTGTTCGCCATACATAACTACACTGCACTCTGACACGGTACCCTACACTGAACCACAACACCGGTAAGTTATAATGCAGGAAGCACAAGCTCTTTTCTCATCATAAACGTTTAAAAAGACATTACTGTTCCTTTATTGGTGGGATTTCTGCTGATGCAGATACATTTGTGGGAGTTTAATAATGGCTCACTGGGCTATCAAGGTCATGAATTCAGTTCAGGAGTTACAATCACACAAAGCAATCTACCAGGCTGACAGTGTGGCTGTAAGAATGGACGACCCAAGCCGTAGCCCGATCCAGCACACAGCTGCCTGAATGTACATGTCACAATACTGTCTCACTCTCCTCCCGCCCCCCCAGCCCACCTTTCCATCATGACTGGCCAGGATCTTACCCCCCTTCCAGCCGTCTTTGTGAACTACAGCCCCTAGTCTTAGTCCAGGTTATGAAAGAACTTAGACAAAGCGCATGATCCAAACAAAGGAGCCCCACATTGCTGACCAAAATAAAACTTTCCACCAGCAAACAGAACCTGTCAGGCTCTTTGCTATTGCAGGAGAGTAAAAAGTTTGCATGAGGTGGATGAGGAGAGTCCCACCTGCCGGTACCGACCCTGCGCTGACCAGAACCTGCATGCCAAGAGGACAGCGGCCACAACCACCAGGGAGACCACATAACAGACTAATCCCGCACCTCTAATCCTCTTCTCCGCCCATTCATCTGGACGGCTCAATCCTCTCGCTCAGAAGCTCACGCTCCCACTAAACCTCTGCTTGTACCGTGGGATTTCTCACTCTGGCAAAAAAAAAAAAAAAAAAAAAGGCACGAGACACAAGGCATTTCTGTGTTTTTTTATCCCGGGCAGCATTCTGGTTGGTGAGAGTCCTGCGTTTCCTTGTACTGTGATTGCTGTCCGCAGTAATGCTCTGCCTTTACCAGGCCGCTGATGAATTAAACATGGCACCCATGTCGAACACACCTGGGACCCATTTTCCCCGACGGCTGCCGTTTTAAAAAACGGCCATAAATCAGCCCTGGCCAGTCTCTCCTGCAGGCTGCTAAAATTAGGCCTGCTGTAACCGTGACGATGACCACCCGAGTAACTGCTCTGTGCGTGCATGCATGTACGTGCGCAGCACCGGCAGCGTGGTCACGTTCGATCGCCGGGATGGACGCGTCACTGTGCCGCACGCTGGCAAACCTGCCAGACACGCCCCCGGCATCTTACATCTACAACAGAGCACCTGAACACCGTCACGTATCAAGCCACACATCTGTATGCCTTTAGGGGAGGACCGGCCTGCTGTTACAGATGGGAGGCTAGGAGAAAACCGGATTATTTGCCTCTGATCTACCTCACACACATTCACAGGTGCACACACGTTTCCAGGAGCCTCAGGGTATACTGTTTTTGTCAGGATATATTAAGATGAGAGAGCTGAGACCGCCTCATACGGCTAGGCTGGTGAATCTGGGCAGGGCAACAGCTAGCCTAACAGAAGAAGTTCTGAACCTACCATGATAAAACCCCTAGAGAGGGAGTATGAGGGGCTTTCTCAATATGCATACTTGACCATACTTGTGATCTCATCTTCCATTGCCGAAGACCAGTTCCATTACTCAAGAACAGAAATACAGAGGACAGTAAAAAACCCCAGATATCGTTCTTGCCCCGTCCCCAGATATCAAGAATAGATCGGTTGCATTCTTGCCAAATGAGACCAATTCCATGATTCATTGCACCCCAAGTTCTTTATTGGTTAGCAAGTTAGGTCTTGCCAAGGCGGCCCAGCGAAAGGGAGACTCTTACCTGACCCTCTCCTTGGGGTCTCCGAAGGACTCCTTTAGCTGGGAAAAGTCGGGGTAGAAGTGGACAGACGGAGAGATGATTTCCAGAAGGCCCGTCTGAATCTCCCCAGGGAACCTGGAGGAGAACCAAGCATCACAGATAGCACCAGTGATGAAATGGAGGCCAAAGTAGAGAATACTGAGTGAAGCAGAGGAGGATAAACAGGAGAAGGCAGGAGAAAGGGAAGAAGGAATGGAGGAGGGAATTAGAGACCTGCACTCCCGCGGGAGAACCGCGGGACCCGCGAGACCCATCGCACCGACTGCGGCGCGGGACCAGATTTGACGGGTGGATGCGGGTGCGGGCGGTAAGGTCCTCATGTATGTGCGGGTTGCGGGAGAATAGAATTAATCGCGGGACTCCCGCAAAATGTTATTATCTTAAAATTAATTTATTAAAAACAAATACTCTATTATTTATCTACTGCACAAAAGCAACAAGAACGACTAAATTAAAATAATAACAATTTACAGGTGAATCGTCTACAGAAACTACAATTGCCGCGCTCTGAGTGCCGGGGGACGTAACCGGAGACCCCAAGAAGGAATCAGCCTGGTGCTTGGACAGGATGGCATGTTCTGAAAAGCTCCTCGCTCGTGTCCATGTTCATCATTCCATTTAATTAAACTCAAATAAAACGAAACATATTTGTTTATTTTCCGTTTCTTTTTTATATATACTCAAAAGGGAAGCAAGTGAAACAAATAACAGAGTAGCGGGAAGAAGCGGTAAAAATAAAACTACTTATATGTTCACGTGCGGGATTTTGCGGGCGGGAGCGGGACAAAACTTGAATACTGCGGGTGGGAGCGGGAGAAAATAATATATATTTTTTTGCGGGAGCGGGAGGGAGCGGGACAGAATCTTGCGGGAGCGGGACTGAAAAATCCGTCCCGCGCAGGTCTCTAGAGGGAATGAAGCTTGAGTTTGCCATTTAACCCCTATGACAGTGTCATGGATATGAAGCTGGAAGAGAGATGGACCCCCATGTATAATAAACGCAAACACTGGTTAACTTAAAAATCTGCCTCTGAGAAATAAATCAACTTATCACACTGATTTGCATTTGCTTGTAAAGGTAACTATGTGATCCCTAAATTAGAGATTTTTTTGCTTAGAGAGGCTAAGCATGGCATCAGTGACTGGGACCACGAGCAGGGACACTACTATAATCACATCATCGATGGCCACAAGCGTGACCTGCAGAAGAGGGAAAGGCTTGTGTGAAGGAGGGAGTGTTGCCAGGGAAACAGCTCAGTGGCGTAACTGGTAGTGACAGAGAATTTAATCCTTAAGGTCCATGGACAGATGTGTATCGTGCTGACACACAAGCACACACACAAGTACACAAAATGCATGCATGCACACAAAATGTACACACGGACGCATCAAACTCATTTGCATGTCTGTATTGACTTTGGTGGGGATACAAATATACAAACAGGCGCAAGGCTGATGGTCTAAACCAGGGGTGTCAAACTCCAGTCCTGGGGGGCCGGAGCCCTGTGTAGCTTAGTTCTTTCCTATTCTACCACAAATGATTCAGCTCAAGAGCTGTGTTGTAATTAGCACGAGGAGTTGAATCAGGTGTGTTAAATGAGGGTGAACCAAAAACTGTGCAGGGCTCCGGCCCCCCAGGACTGGAGTTTGACACCCCTGGTCTAAACCCTCAGCCTGACTGATAGATCTGTACTCAGAGCAGCTTCAGTGACAGTCACACTCACACCAGATGCTCTTCTCCATTACAAAGCACTCAGTGAGTAGCCCCCCCCCCCCCCCCCCGCCCCCGCCGCCCATGTCTAGGCAAATTGGAGCGAAGCCAGATGCTGAAATTCGTGATTCTCATGCTGATTTACAGGTATAAACACCCCCAGCGCCTCGTCCAGGCAGAATGACATAAAGAGAGAGTGAAAGAAAGGGAGAGGCCAGGGCTCATGACAGGGAGCGGGGCAGGACTACAGGAGGAAGTAGTTTGGAAACTGGGAAGCTTGACGTTCTGCTCTCCAAGTTAAACGGAACAGAAGATGGAGGTTTTTCCAAGCAAATAGAGCTGGCAGAAACCTGCCCTGTCTGATGTGATTCGATAACTCAGAAGGTGAGAAGCAGACATGCAAAGCTCCATGGTGGGCGGGACAGGGGTGCACGCCTCTCTGCGACTCAGCTAATCAGCTCGGACCGTCGCCATCCAGGGAAGACCACAGGCGCCATGACGCCCGGCTGCACACACCGAGGGGTGCAGGTTGCAGTCAACCACACCAAGGGTGGATAAGAGCAGAAGCGCATCATCAATAAACAAATATGACAAGAGAAAATGATGGCATTGGTTGGAGAATGGGGGAGGGGGGAACCAGACACAGCCAGGTCCAATCAGGGGTGGCCCCATCAGCCGCATTCCATTGCCATGGAAACAGAGGTGTACTTACAGGCGGTTTAGGTTCTCTGCCACGCTGTTGGCGTACTGCTGGTCTGTCTGAAAAACACAGAGACAAAGGGAACAGGAGTGACACCACTGCCGGCTTGATTACACCTGCTGTGACTGAACTTCCATCTCAGTTAACATCAAGCCAGGTAAACGGCACGGTGAGACGTGTAAAACCTGAAAAATCTGTAAGCTGCCTTGGGTAAAATTTAGATTTGGGCTCAGACTGTGTGCCCCTGCATTAACATCAGTCTGAGTAAGCGCTCCTTGGGAATCGCTCGGTCATGAATTCTGATGAACTCTGATCTCTGACCATTTCCTGGAAAACGAATGTAGATGCACCACGATTTCACCGAAATTCTTTATGGACAGATGCAAATGAAACTTCATTACGCTGTCAAGGAGGGAGCAAAAATCTTACTAGTTAATGCAGTACACTTGACACTTCTGTATAAATAATTCAACTGTATAAAGTAGTAAACATGGTAAGTATCTTTGAATGAAAGTGTTAGCAATACAAGCAAATATAAACAGGCAACGTGTGAGCTCATCAGACAGACAAACTGTGTACACACAAGCAATGCATGTCATCTGAAAGACGCATGCTGGCAGAATGAACACACAGACAACAGCAATGACAACACTACCACTTTTGGCACAACTCACCTGTCTACCTGAGATAGGCACCAGCACGCTCACACAAATCCCCCCACCCCCCCCTGTCGGGTAACTGGGCAAGAGCTGCAGTGTGGGAGCCTATTATTACTGGGCCCAGAGAAGGAAAACATTTTTACAGAGCCCATTTACAGAGCCAGGGCTGAGAAAACATCAATAACCCTTCATCCGCATTTAACAGCCAGCGAAAAACCTGTCGTCCCTTTAATTCCCTCCCTTGTCGAAGAACCAATGAGAATAAACCCAGGCAGCCTAATTACACTCACTGTGCGATTCTGTGTGTGTGTGTGTGTGTGTGTGTGGTGAAGGGAGGGTGGCTTTCTTTAAAGCAGTGTTGCGTCCCTGTGTCAGGGACAAAGCAAGGACGCAGAATGAGGGAGGAAAACCAGATGCACTCAAAAACAAGGTCTGCAAACATTCCATCACCGACTGCAGCTGAGCAGTATTTGCTAGTCAAACACCGACTGAGGTCCAAGCAGCTGTGGCCCACCCTCTGTACTTTGAGGTACTTATTTCCTGGGCCTGTCCCCCCCTCCCCCCCCCCCCCCCACATATCTGTCACAGCCCCCCATGGGGTATTTGCATTTAACCACCAATGCACATCAATCAAGCAGGTTATACTGCCATTGTGGAAAAGCAAGACGCATTAAATATATTACATTTACAATGACTTAAAAGGCTCTTAAAGAACCGGTGCTTCTGTCTGCTGCCTATAGCATTAGTGCACAGTATATGAGCTGTGCAGAGTGGTAAAATAACACTGAGAGCCACCACATTAATCAGACAGGGGGTTAGTTAATTAATGCAGGTGTCTGCTGCATGCAGGCACTGGCTGGTGGTAGTAAATTAAGTGCCGGCTATTTAAAACTCAGTGATGAAGTAAGATTCCTGGAGCAAAGGAGAGCAAACCTTTGGCCCGCAACAGACTGGGATAAAGAGCAGTTACACTGCTAGCGGCCTCACAAACCATCCAGGAAGCCACACTCACCAAAGAGCATCATGGGAAGAGCATGTGACAGGATGAGGGAGGCAGTGGGGCGAGTCAGCCAGCATGTGGTGGAGGGGGGATAAGGAGGGTGTGGGGGCTGGGAGGGGTGTTTGGCCGAGCGTGCTCTGGTCTGTCAGACACCGTGTCGCTCGGAGACGGCAGGGATGAAGCTCATAATGTCTGGCAGCCAATGAATGGGAAGGGTTAGGAGTGTTGTGAGGGGGGGCTGGGGGCTAATGTGGCGTGGTTAATGATATCTCATTATAT